TTTTTTTTTTTTAAAAAAAAAGAAACGGCGCGAAAACATATTGGACCGTTTGTCGGAGTGAATCACGTTCACAATAATAATAATAATAATAATAGCTATTACGATGATGTGCGATCATTACGTTATTATGTTACTATATTATAATAATAGTTATTACAATTGTATCTGTTATTATGACGACGATGCGGTTATGATGTGTGTTGTTTCCATTGTTGTCATCATTCATTGCAATTATAAGTTGCGTTATTTACGATGTGTGTTATTCTTTGGTGTATAATGTTATTGTAATTATAAATCATATATTGTGTTATTTATGATTTGTGGTTATGATGTTATTGTAATTATAAATCATAAGTTGCGTTATTGACGGTGTATGTGATCTGTTGTTATAAAGTGATTGTCATTGTAAAGGATATGTGACGTTGTTTCTGATGTGTGCGATTTGTTGTTATAATTATAAATGACAGTACCGAGTTATTAACGGGAGATGTTTTATTTGTTATTATTATATTAGAGGTATATTTATTTATATTTATTAATCTATGTCTCCCGTGTTGTGGGGCAGTAAAATCTCCGTCCCTGGGTGGGCTCGAACCACCAACCTTTCGGTTAACAGCCGAACGCGCTAACCGATTGCGCCACAGAGACTGACACGGGCGGTGGCGCCTTCACTGGCCTCTAACCAGCACAACCGCCGCTCCCCCCCCCCCCCCCGGCCCGGCGTCAGCCCCGCCCACAGCCCCGCCCACAGCCCCGCCCCCACACTGCCCCACAGCCCCGCCCACAAGCTCCGCCCGCACAGCCCCGAAGCCCCGCCCCCACAGCCCCGCCCGGCGTCAGCCCCACAGTCCCGCCCACAAGCCCCGCCCACACAGCCCCGAAGCCCCGCCCCACACAGCCCCACCCACAGCCCCGAAGCCCCGCCCCACACAGCCCCACAGCCCCACCCACAGCCCCGAAGCCCCGCCCCACAGCAGCAGGAGGCAGTTACAAACCCTCCCCCTCCCCTCCCCCTCTACACACACACACCCCCCCACACACCCAGGGTGGGGGTCCCCACCCCGACCCCCTTGGCTCTGGCCACTCAGTGGCTAATACTGTAGCCTCAGGTATTATTAGGTGAGTAACAGTTTACCCCCCACCGCGAGAGAGAGCGAGAGAGAGAGCGAGAGAGCGCAGACCCTATTCCTCACAACAACAACAACAACAACAAACAAACTGCATTGCGAGGCAGTGGGGGGTTGGGAGGACGAGGAAGAGGTTAACGCAGCAGCTGTTGTGCTGGTTACAGGGCCACTCGTCTGCTGCCACCGTCAGTCTCTGTGGCGCAATCGGTTAGCGCGTTCGGCTGTTAACCGAAAGGTTGGTGGTTCGAGCCCACCCAGGGACGGAGATTTTATTCCACCCCCCACCCCCCCAACCCCCCGCCTCGAGGGGTCAAATGAAGCGGCAATTCACTCCCCACCCCCCACCCCCCACCCACCCTCACCTCCCACTCACTCCGAACACCGACAAACATTCATCTTGTCAATTTCCTTACCTTTGACCCCCCCACCAACCCCACGCCGCCCCCCCCCACCACCGCCCCACTGCCCCCCCCACCGCCCCACTGCCCCCCGCACCGCCCCACTGCCCCCCGCCCGCCCGACCAACCATTTCAAAAACACCCCACAATTACGTGCGCACCTTTAATTGCAACCCGGAGTAAACCGAACCCGTACAACCCGGGTCGGATTTTACTGCGAGGCGCAGTGATTGAGTGATTTCTGGACGCGTTCCCTTCAGGTCCCGCCGGCTTGTTTGTGCGGCCGGACCTGAAAGATCCCACGGCTCTCCGCCGCGTCTCTCTCGCGTCCCCCCCCCCCGTCAACAAGTTCCTCCCAATAAAATTGTTTCACGTGGCTGCTCGTGGGACATTGCCGTGGGTTTCGCTCACAAAAGTGCCCAGTCCATCCACTTTGCGGTATATCCTATGAAGCGCTTTGAGACATCCCACAGATGTGATAAGGCGAGGAATCAAATGCGAGGATGACTATTGTTAAATGATAGGGGTCAATTTGTGCGCTCAGCAACGTCACTGAGAAATGCGCAATGCCTACACTTTACCGTAAATCCTGTGAAGCTCTTTGAGTGATGTTTGAATGCTGTGATCAGGCGCTATATCAAATGGCAGCATTATCATTCGTAATAATAATAATAATAATCACTGTATCTAATGTTTGACCAGTAGGAGTCACTGTAGCTGTTTAATTGTTTAGGTGTGTTTTTTCATTTAGGGACATATCTCACGTATTTTATGTACTTATGATGTCTCAACGACGTGATAAGGCGTTGTATCAAATGCAAGGATTATTATTATTTTTAAATTCTTTTCATTCTTTGTCTCCTTACTCCTCACTCGGAGGAAAGGGCGAGCTGGAGATAGATAGTCTCAGACCTCTTTTCGCTCTCTCTCTCTCGCCCCAATAACAGTCTCATTCCATGGATGCCAATTCGAAACAACAACAACAACAACAACAACAACAAGATTCCATTTATAAAGCGCCTTTCACGTCAGGAGGACGTCCCAAGGCGCTGCACAGTTGGGTCATGACAGTTCAGGATGCACCAAGGCAGCGGAACAAGAGGACACAATTTTAGAGTTGCAAAGGGCAATTTCAGGACGGACACCAGGACGTTTTTCTTTAACCAGAGGGTTATTAACAAGTGGTATAGATTGCCAGGAAGGGTGGTTGAGGCCAAGACATTGTTCTGAAGGGATGAGACCCGGTGTGCTGAAGGGCCTTCTTCATCCGAACCAATCCTGTGATTGTTTGAACTGATCCTCGGTTCACTTAATAATAATAATAATAATAATAATAATAATAATAATAATAATAGTCCCTGAAATTGATTTAGCTCTTTCACGTCTTCTAGACGTTTCAAAGCGCTTCACAGAATATACTGTAAAGAATTGATTGTATATTTTTGGTCGAAACATACAACATTAAGTGGCCATTTTTCATGTGTGAGACCAAAGTAGTCCTGAGGGGGTCACACTGTTGCCCATATCTGACATCCACACATGCTCACTTTCCACTATCAGGAGTAGGAACCCCGTCTCACACTGAGACCAGTTTGTGACCCTTCCTGAGGTCAGCAAACTGAGCGCAAACCGAGGATTGACCCTGCAACCTCCAAATCCCACTGACAACTGAGCCAGGGGAAGGGGAAGTGGACCTGACCTCATTGTGTTTAATCTTCGTCACAAATTATCCACTGTTTTGTGCTGGATGTTTATGCAACATGAATAGTGGAACATTGTTTGTCATTTCACAGTGAGTGTAGAATTGATTCCAGATGAGATCACGGGCCATTTTTCCTTCAGGATATTAGGAAATCGAACAGCTGTTGATTGCTTGCCATAGCCATGGCAACTCACTCCATATGATTGCAGTGTCAATAGACAAAAAGAAAAGAGCTATCAGCGCTTCATCCTGATGATAATCGTCCTTGCTTTTCAGATCGGGAGGATATCTCACAGTGTTTCACAGGATTTCTACTGGAAGGTGTGTATTTTGCAGGTGAATGCAGCAGGCAATTTGGCCACAGATATATCCCACAAAACAGCCACGAAGACCAATGATTAAATTTATCTGGTGATTCGTTGGGCCAGGACGTCAAACACGAATAGCCCCTAAATAAGTGTAAGTTATCCCTGTTATTGATTGACAGACCACATGTGATTGGTAGTGTAGAGTGAGGGACAGCTCATGTAATTGACAGGCTGTACAACAAAAACAAGTTACATTTGTAAAGGGCCTTTCACGTCGGGAAGGCGTCCCAAGGCGTATAGTCGATTGACAGCTCTGATCTGAATGACAGCTCAAATGACTGACAGTCTACAGTGATTGGCAGCTCTTGCCTCAACGACGTGATAAGGCGCTATATCCAATGCAAGGATTATTATTATTACTGACAGTCTATAGTTGATTGACAGTTTATCGTTGATTGATAGGCTATAGTTGATTGACAATCTGTAGTTACTACGCAAACTCACTGCTTGTCGGCCTCCCCCACTCCTCCCTCCACAGACTGCAGATCATCCAGAACTCTGCAGCCCCCGTGCCCTCTCCCACACCGGGCTCCGTGGCCCCATCACCCCCATCCTCGCCCGACTCCAATGGCTTCCCATCGCACAGAGGATACAGTTCAAGATCCTGGTCCTCACCTTCAAAGCCGTCCACGGTCTTGCCCCTCCCCACCCGCCCCCCCCCCCCGCGCCCCCACTACCTCTGAGAGCTCCTGTCCCTGTACCACTCCCTCCGCTCAGCTTCACGTCTCCCTCCTCGCTCGCCCCGCGATCGGCGGTCGGGCCTTCCGCCACTCTGCCCCCCTCCCCCCACCCTCTGGAACCCCATCCCGCAGTCCCTCCGCCTCGCCCCCTCCCTCGCCACCTTCAGGACCCATCTCGAGACCCTCCTCTTTGATCGCGCCTTCGATCTCCCCCTCCCCCACCCCCTCCCCCACCCCCACCCCCACCCCGGGTCCGAAACTCTGACCGTCCAGCGCCTTGGGCCGTCCTCCCGACGTGAAAGGCTCTCTGGGCAAATGCAATCTTGTGGTCGTCGTCGTCGTCGTCGTTTGTTTGTTTGTTTGTTTGTTTGTTTGTTGTTGTTGTTGTGGTGGTTGTACAGTTGATTGACAGCCTGTAGATGATTGACAGCCCCGAATGACGCACAGCCAACGGTGATTGACAGCGTGACGTCACGGCGCCGCACGCCCGGCCGCTGGAGAGGCGGTCACGTCGGCGGCGGCGTGGTGACGTCAGGGGGGGGGGCGGCGCGCGCTGGCCGGAGTTCTGGCCGCGGTTTGAAAATAACGGTCTCGCGGCCCGCGAGCCAGTCCGGCCCTCCCCTCCCTCCCTCCCTCCCCCCCACCCACCCACCCCGAGCCCTCAGCCCCGTCCCCCGCTCTATGTGCCGCTGAACCCGCCGCCGAGGGCCCAGGCTCCGGCCGCCATGTCGCCGAAGGAGAGCGTGTGCTCCCGCTCCTATTTCCTGGTTGTCATGGTGTTTGTTCACGTTTACATCGTCAATGTGATCGCGCTGCTGCTCTACGTTTACTACACCGGGGAGGGGGACACCGGCACCGCGGCGGGACCGGCCTCTGCCCCGCCTCACAGAGCGACCCCCGCCGCCGCCACCGCCACTACCACCACCGGCACTGCACCGGCACCGCCCTCACCCTCACTCCCCAAACACCACAACCTCTCCCCGCTTGGCCGCCTGCAGCGACTCGAGGGCATCAAGGTGAGCGCTGGGGGGGGGTCTGGGGGCCAGGTTTGGGTTGGGGGGGGGCAGGTTGTGGGGGGGGGGGCAGGTTGTGGGGGGGTCTGGAGGCCAGGTCGGGGGGGAAATTGGGGGCCAGGTTGGGGGTGAGGGTCTGGGGGACAGGTTGGGGGGGTCAGGTGTGGGGGGGGTTGGCAACCAGATTGGGAGTGGGGGTCTGGGGGACAGGTTGGGGGGTGGGGGGGGGGGTCTGGGGGTTGGCAGGAGGGTGTCTAGGGGTTACAAGGGGGTATTTGGAAGATTGGGAGGGGGTCCTGGGGTCCAGCGGGAATGATATGTGATGGATTGAGAAATGCTGGGATGTGGAATGGGGGGGTGTGGGGGGGGTGTCACCAGAAGGAATCAGGCATAATAATAATAATTGTGGCAGCCAATTAAAAATTAATTTAAAAATTACACACAGTTATACACGGCAGTAAACCGATAAATCTGTCAGGGGTACTGCGTCCAGGAGCAGGTAATAGATGTCTGACAGAGCCGACAAACTCAGGTGGGAAGGAATCTGGAATTGAAGGAGAAATTGAAGATTTAGAGGAAGAGGGACCCAGGCATAAGCGATAGTTTGGCACTGTGAAGAATTCCCATTTTAAATGTATATTCTGTGCTTCCCATGGACTGGCGAATCGATCCAATTTTATGATGCAGATTTTGTTGTGTAAATTGATCGTTTTATATGCTGTACAGTGAATCAGTTGCATAAAGTGCGTCAACCATTGACCCCCAGGCTCACTCGGAGCAGAATTCTACCCTTTAAGAATATGGGGCAAATACCGCCTTTTGGTGCACATCCTTTTAATCTGAGTAAGTCAATGGAGAGCATTTAAAGAATTAATAATAATAATAATCCTTGCATTTGATACAGCGCTTTTCACGTTTTCTAGACATCTCAAAGCGCTTCACAGAATTTACTGTAAAAGTGAATTGACTGTATATTTGTGGGCGAAACGCGGCAGCCAATTGCATACAGCAGTGTCCCACAGACAGTCGTGGATTGAAGTGACCAATTTATTATTGTTTTTTTTTTCTTGAGAGATTATTATCAGGCGTTCGGAGGGTTTCACCCCGCCGGGAATCAAACCCAGGTCTCTCGCTTGTGAGGCGAGTGCTCTAACCACTGAACTACAGGACTTACTGCTAATGGTGGAAGCAATCATGCAATTTGTATTTTTAATGTACTAAACACATCCAGAATTAGGCATCGTAAGTTTCTTAAGAAAATACTCCTTAAGATACTCCATCAGCTTCTCCATTACTTCCTCAAGTACTTCGTTCACACTTCAAAGTGACATCATGTCAAACCAATACAAAACCGCTTACCATCAATGTGGGATATTCTATTTAAAAAGCTGAAATCAAAAGATGTCACCTTTGTCAAAATAGACAATACACTCTTAGCTGCATACCACAATTCATTTAAAGAAATAAAAATAAATGGAAATTAGAACAGCAAAAAGAAGATATAAACTACAGGAATATTAAGATACTTTCAAAGTTTGTCCTCTTATAGTCATCTAAATTAGGGTCTGGATTTCACGGAGCAGAATGTTAAGAGTCAAAGTAGTTTGAGGTTAGACAGAATGTAAAGATGATCAATTACTGGATTTAAAATAAAATTGAATTAAAACTTTACTTGCTTTTACACTGTATCATCTGGGCCAGCAGTTGTAATCCTCATGACCGAGTAAAGTTAATGGGTTTGGAATCGGCTGCTTTCAAACATAAGAACGTAGGAATTTGCTAGGTGAAAGATGACCAAGATCTACCCAGTTTGCCTTCCTAACAGGCGCGAGACATTTTGTGTCCTAATCTGTTTCCCAAGATATTATTTTCTAGCAGAAATCTATCTAATTTGTTCTTGAAACAAACATTTTCTGCTTCCACCATCTCCCTAGGGAGCCAGTTCCGTAGGTTTACTGCTCGCTCACTGAAGTAGTGTTTCCGCAGATTTGTTTTGAATTTATGGCCTTGAACTGCAGTCGGTGTCCTATAGGTTCTGCTGTTCAATACAAAATAGAGCTACACCTTAGCACAAACACTACTTTGGGAAGAAACTCTGTTCCTATTAGTAGTAGTATTATAATCTCGGCTGTAACATTATCAGAAGGTCTAAGGTTGAATCAACCCGAACTGCTTTGGTATAACACTCAATGAAACCCTATAGAGGGACATCAGCGAAGGTTGATTTTCCATCCTGGTTTAACTGCACTGTGAATAATGCATTGTTTTTTTTTAAAAAAGGTACTTTTTAAAAAAAAGAACAGCCATAAAAAGTAAATTTTGAATTCTTTGCAGGTTGGCCATGTACAAAGGTTGGACCTATTACCTAACAAGGTACATTACATGAAAACACTGAGCATGAAGCCACTTCTGTTTGGTAAGATATGGTGCTTTTGTTTTTCTTTAGGAATTTTAGATCAAGAATACAAACTGTCAAGTGTCAGTGTTGGAGCCTTAAAGCTCTATTCCTTGAAGGCAGCTATTTTAGGGGACCCGGGGCCAAAAGAGAAGCAGTGTGATGTTCCCACGTAGTGCTATGTACTTGCTTAGGTGATCTCTTCAGGTCGGTGAATGTTTGTTATGTCAATGTAAAGTGGTCAAGGTAAAGTGAAGAGAAGGGGAGCATGGAATAAGTCAATTTGAACAAAAAATGTTTCTATGCAAAAGTATACTGATCCTGCACATACAAATAAGATGAACATCTTGTATGTGTGTATATATATATATAGAATTTTGATTTTTTTGTAACCTTTAGGTGTTTTTTCTGATACCTTTTCATACATGGTTGATTTTAAAGAGAATATTTTGGTTGGTCAGCCAGCAGTTAAAATGTCCGCATAATTCTTCTTGGAATTTAAAATAACTTCAAGTTTCTAACTGTCCGAACATCAGGTGTTCCCCTTTCTCTCTTATGTTTGGCTCAGAAGATTCAAGGCCCCTAGGGAATTAACCTCATAGTCAAGGCTGACACGAACGCAGCCCTGGGGTAACCCTTCATTGACAAGTGTTGTGGTTCACATCATGAGAACTTAAAACTGAAGTCCCATCTGCCCATTTGGGTAGACATTACAGATAATGTGATATGATTCAAAAAGAGATGTAAATTTCTCCCAGTGTTCAGGCTAACAATCCTCCAGATTAATTCACCATTCACTCATTGTCTATTTTCATTGTAAATGGCTCATGTATGCTCTTACACTTGCCAGTAATTGTACAAAACTTTGGGTTTTAATATGATAAAGTGCTAGAAAAATCCTTTTTACAACTATTGTGTGGGGATGTATTAAACAAATGTAGAGATTTCAATAAATAAACAAGTCATTTCAGAGCGGTACAAGGCTTACTAGTTAACACATTTGAATCGTAAATTCTTGAATTTGTGAATGCAATAGGTTTAGGGAGAGGAGAGAGAACATTCTTAGTGTTTTTGTCAAAATAAAGAGACCCAACACTTGAATCACAATACACAATATATTTTGCCCACAAAAGATAGTCAATTCTCATTACAGTATATTCTGTGAAGCGCTTTGAGACATCTCGAAGACTCGATAAGATGCTATATCAAATGCAAGGAATATTAATATTACTATTACTGCACTGGGATATTAATCAAGTCTATGTTCCAAGGTTATTTTATTTCAGTTTTCTCCTCTTGTCCTCTCCTGAAGACATTGTAGCCAGGCTACAGTTCTACAGCAAATATCCAGTACCTCACACAAGTGGAAATTCATCATTCTGATTGCTGTGTACTATAATAACTTGTGTTGGAAAGTGTATGCTTGTGGAAATCAGGTGAGGATTGGCAGCACTCACTATCCACACATAAATAAAGGTCACTTGGGTGAGGTATCAGAGAGCTGCCAGCAAGACTAAAAAAAAGTGAATTGATGGAATTACACTATTGTGAAAAAGTATGCATAGCATCTTAAACATGGAAACAAACTGATATAGAGAACTTTAAATTAAAATACCATTACATTTCTGATTAACTATAAAACACATTTCTTGGAATCTGTTTATTGCCTTGGATAGGTAGGACACGACCCCAGTACTAAAATACAAGATGTATATCATAACCATTTGATCTGTATTACAAATTACGTCTCTAATACAAGTTGCAGAAATTGTTCAATCAAATAACCAGTGCTCCCATTCCTTGGTAGGCTGCAGTATGTTTTGGGATTGAATTACAGATACAAGCAAGGGTTTTGCCTGCAAGTTATGAAATAGACTGCAGAGATTCTCTGAAAAAAAGGATACAACTTCTGACTTACTCTGAGACTTTTGACACCTATTTTGATGTGACATTTCTGCACTCTGCTTAGTTTAGGATTTGTGGAGTGAGACTGAGTAAAGAACAACTTGCATTTATGGTGCCCTTCATGTAGAGTCATGTCTGAGTGCTTAAAGAATGGAAGGGAAAGTGAGCAAAATAGCAAGGAAAGAAATAGCAAAGAATTCAAATGAAGAGGCAAGCAGAAAAAAATCAAGGAGACTGAGAGAAAGAGGCAGGCTACTAAGCAGTAAATTCTGAAGATAGTATTTCAACTTTACATTTAAAAACATTCCTGTACGCACATGTGTGGAAACATGCATTATTCTGTGTGTTGACATGCTGGAAACCCAGAATGAAAATTCAGGGACAAAGTGTGTCACACTGATGGTCGAAATCTGGATATGAGAGCACTGTTTATACATGGCAAATTAGCCATTATGTCGATGTTGAGGCCCATTCACTGGAAGAAGTGTTCTACAACTTTTGACTTGAACTTCTAATAGGGAATCTTTTACCCCTGCCCACAGTCAAAATATAATTGAGGTTCTACTAGAATATGAAAACAGAATTGCCAAGTATGTTAAAGAAACTGGGGGATCGCTCTTAGGGTAGGGTTTCAAAACATTGTTTTTCTGGCAGTCTGGGACCAGAATTACTTACGAAACAAAATCTAATGGTTCTAATTTCAAATTCATTGATATTGATACAAAGGAAATGCTGAGTTTGTTTACAACTATTTGACAGCAATTTTTCCATTATCTTAACTGATTTCAAATATCATTTCCTCTTATTTCTCCTGTGGTTTCAAATTCTTTTTGTTTCTCCTTAATTAGTCCTGAACCAGGGCTGGTTCTCTGTAATTGTCAAAGTTAATCATGTTGACCAGCAGCGATTGATTTGTTGAAAACAGAATAACATTTTTTTAAAGTATCTATGGATTGAGAATTCTTTACCTGTTCGGGCGCGGTTTTATATCTATTATTTATTTTGTTCCGGTGTGTCACTTTATACAAACACACATTCTGGTAATTTTTGTATCTGTTCCAGTGCTGTAGTTTGGGAAAATCGTATTAACAGGGATAAATTGGTGAGATTTCCAATTCTGCGGCTCCACCTGGGGAAAGTTCTACATTTGTACTTTACTTCTTTCAGAACCAGTTGCTGGCGATGTTTGTTAAGTTTGCTTGTAAATCAGGAACAATATTTCTTATGGGCTGGGCCAATAAAAAAGTGCAGAAATATTTGCCCAAAATTGCGGAGCACTTTGAATTCTGCGGACAAGTTTGCTGGCTTTTGAGGTTTGATTGGTGCTATTGCGGACACATTTTGCTGCTAACCTTCATTTTTTTCTCTAAACATGAAGAAATGACACATTAGATTGTTATATAAAAAATATTAATTCCTTCTTTAACAAAAACAGGGTGGCCTTTTTGGTGGGGGAGTGGGGGAGGGACAACAATGAGGCTACAGGGGCTCTTAGGGCCCAGCACCACACACAGACCCAGAGAGAGAAAGAGACACACACACAGGGACACACATTCTCAGAGAGAGAGACGCACACTCACACAGACACTCACAAACAGAGAAAGATATACACACACACACACACACACACACACACAGACACTCACAAACAGAGAAAGATATACACACACACAGACACTCACAAATGCATACAGAAAGATATACACACAGACAATCATACACACTCTCACACTTTCTCTCTCTCTCACACACACACACACACACACACACAAACACACAGGGGAACACACAGACAGTCACAACAGCGGGACCCCGAGTGAAGCCCATTTACCGCTTGCGCCGCACCGTGGATGCGCTTCCGGAACTGCCCCACCCACAGTGACATCAGGTAAACAGCTGGGAGGCCCGCGGGCCAGAGACTACATTGAGAGCGGGAGAGGGTATTTGTAGCGGATTCTGCAGAAGAAGCGCAGCCGCAGTTTTCTATTGGCGAGCTTATGGGAAAGGCATGCACACTCCGGGGGTCCCCACGCCTTGACTCTTGCCAACCTGCGCCTAATACTTTCCAAGATTAGGTAAGCAGGATGCCGCCCTCCAGGGAGGGACGTGCCATTTCAGCAATCTATCTCTGGAATTCCCATGTGTAGGTGGGATGCAAGAAATTCTCAGTTTGGTTTGGATACTCTTAAGCACGGGAATGGGTTTCGGTAAGTGTCAGATACCTGGCTGAACCCCAAAAAATGGAGAAGGCTGTTTCATGCAAGGTGGCGAACAGTAGTGGCATTGAGATCCAGTTGACTAGTTAGATTTTATATTTGTTTATTTACAGTGAACTTTCTTTTGAGCTGCCTCGAGCTCCCTATAAAACTATGTACAAGAAGATCCCATTGTGGAAATTTATGTAGTCATCACTGGCTTAAACAAATGTGCTATTAATCCTCTGCTCTAGCCCTATAGATCTCTTGCAAGTTTAACAGGTTTTTTTTTGCTGGTGCAGGGAAGGATCAATAAGCTGAAATTTTCAGTCAAATTCACATAAGTTTTAAAAATTCACTACCTTGTTTTTCCTTTCAGCGATTAGTTCATATTCGTGGAGATTGCTTTTTGACTTCCAAACTCCTAATTTGAATTTGGAAACTGGCACAGATGCCAGCACTGAGAAGGATAAAGTACTTTAAGGGATTTTTTTTTACATTTGCACAATAGATTATATATAATTTGTTTCTTTATCTTACACTCGGCACCTATGGTATTTCCATTTTCTAACGGCAAGCATCAAGTTTTTGTCGCGCCTTTGCCACAAGTACGCTTTGTTCACCACAACTCTGCCATTGTGGACTTGGCCTACAATTACGTAAGTCCCTGCACGGTTGCCCCGGGTCATGTTCTGGACACACGTGGCGTCCAGGTCGAGCCAGCTCTGAAGCTTGGGTTGGATGTCCGGCTTGAGGAGTGGACCATGCTTGAAGACCTCTAACCTGCTGTCCATCTCGAATCCCGAGATTATGGATGAACTTGTGTTTTTCTTTGAGATTCTGATTTTGGCAGCTGTAGAGAAGCGGAATAACATTTTAAGTGAGTTTGCATTTCCGAACCTTTTTTTGCCCACACGTCAAACATTCCTGCCAACATGATGACATAATATAACCTTCTTCCTACAGTGTAGAGAAACTATTCGTATAATGTCAGTAGTTAACTTATTGTTAATAATAATCTTTGCAGTTGAGATAGCACCTTTGACGTCAAGAGGCATCTCAAAGCGATTCACAGGATATATTGTAAAGTGTAGCGACTGTATATTTTGTATCAAACATGGCAGCCAATTTGCACACAGCAATATCCCAGAAACAATCATTAAGTGAAAAACAATTTTATCTGGGGGATTGTTTACCAGTACACAGGGAGAATCTCCCTTCTCTTTTCAAATAGTGCCATGGGATCCAAAATTCAGCACCTCCAACAACGCTGCACATTCTCAGCACTGCATTAGTGTGTCAGCCCCAACTGTATGAGTATGAAATGGACATTTTCTGTCTATGGTTGAGAAACAGTCCTTACACTTGAGAGCAATTATTTGAGATGGTTTGACATTGTAAGGCACTGCTGCTCCATTTACTGTGTGTATCTTACCAAAATCATTGGTACAAAACGTGTTGAGTATTTCTTTCGATGAAGTGGTTTCTTCCAGTTCACAGTCTCGACAGCTTGCTTGAGGCAACCCTGTGTTTTGAATGGAAACGTATATCTATTATTTGCAGGTTGGACACATGGCATGTGTTACAATGGTCTGAATGGAAGCATACCATTCAACCTTATCACTTGGGCCAACAGAAAAGTGCAGCTGCACTTTTTACGCTGAATCCGCTACAAGCACCCTCCTTCGTTACAAACAAACCCTCTACTGCAGTTGATGGACTAATCGGAAGCGCTAGAGTGGAGAGCCTCATCTGAAATCACAACTACTTAAATTTTCATTGAATTTTCTCTGATTTTTATTTTAGGTGTTGTACCATTTCTATCTCGCACCACACTTTGTGTAAATCTACAGTGGTAGCATTTCTGAGAACTTGCACTTTTTAAGAAGGCTTTGAGTATAGATTAGCCTTTTGGGGAGAAAGTTTATTTTAAAAAAAGGAACAATGAGAATACTTGTAGCCAACAGCCACTACTATTTATAGTATCTCTTGTAATGAGATAAAGGCACTGTAGCGTACTGTGATTAGACTTTTTAATAACTTGAAGGGGAGGGACTATTATAACTGAGCCTTATTCTGTTGTTACTTAATATACGTCCTTCTAACTTTACAGGAATTAATTGGAGAGTGATCAGAAGTAGAAACTCTTTGGAACCTTAGGTTATTTATAACTTTAAGAGGCAAAATAAATTGGGATGTTTAAAAGGCAGATGGGTCGATACTTGAAGGGGAAGTAAAGCTATTATTACAAGTATTGAGGAAAATATGGGAAAATCAGATTAAAAGATGTACCATTATCTTATAGCCTGACAGAAAAGGCTTGTGGGCTGAATGATTTTCTTCAGTTGCTGCAGAGTAACCCTGTTGTATTATTTGGGTTCAATATCTCAGCAAAATAGAAAGTGAATAAATGGACAATATCTGGGACATTGGGTTGCCTCTGAAATCACATTTGCAGTATGTAAGCACTGCTAATGTCACGCTTCACACGTATTCTTAAATGTAAAGGATTCCCTTTGCCATTCTAACTGAGGTTAGTTAACTCGGATACAAACCAACTAGGATTTTCTTGGTCTTTAGATCTCAGCAGCATATTTGCACATGGAGTCAGTGTGGTGGTGCTCCTTTAAATTCAACAAATGATTTGCCAACTGGACAGAATTAGTTTGAAAGTTAGAATTCGTAAAATACTGACGCCTGGATATGAAATCTAGGGTTAAAATTAAACCACTTACTCCTACTGTGTGATGTTGACTTATTGCCGATGAAGGAGATGCACAAGCCGTGGTCAGCAGGAAATTTGTTGCAGTTGAGTATTTCAGGCCACGGGTAGCCGTAGCAAGCCATGATCGGGGCACAGCTATTCCTTACTGCCTCACAGAGGCTGCGACAAGGATATATAAACCTGAACAGAGGCAAAATCCAAGATTAAGTATCTCTCTGTTATTTGTGATAAATGCATTTTATTCCTCCTTACCGCATACACCTGATTTTAGCTGTGAAACTGCAGCTGATTTATCTATGGTTTGTGATTTATTAGATACAGCAACTTGCATTGCATTTAAATCGTGCCCTTCATGTAAAATAATGATGCCCCTACATAAGGTTTCTGTATAATCAGATGTAGATGATGCAATAAATTGTTATTGCGTTATTGCATTGCATAAGATTTTCAGTGATTATTTCCAATTAATATCTTTTTCAGTTATTTATTTCGTTGTTGGCTGATTTGGGTGGATATAAACAGACAACTGCCCCCATTTCAAAATAAAGTGGAATTTTCTCCTGGATATCTTAGTTTCTAATTCTACATCATCCAAATTCACCCCCAAATTGAAATGAATTGGCTTTTGATTATTGTTTGCCCACAAATACGGAATCACTCTACTTCACAGTAAAGCCTGTGAAGTGCTTTGGGATTTCCTCCTGACGTGAAAGGCACAATACCAAATGCAAATATTATTATTGTTTGTAGGATATTGCTTGTGCAAATAAGCTTCCATGTTTGCTTCCATATTAATTTGCCTCATTCTGTAAAACACTTTGAGACATTTTGAGCCACTATGCCTTGACCCTCTGGAACTCATTGCCTCAAACCCTCTGCCTCGCCCCCCCCCCTCTTTCTGCATCTTCAGATCGCACCTGAAGACTTTCATCTTCAACCATGCCTCCGGTCATCTCCCCTTTCTCCCTCTTAAAAAAAAAATGAAAATTTGGTCATTCATTCCACAATTGTTTGTGGGACATTGCTGTGTGCAATTTTCTGCCACGTTTTGCCCACAAAATATACAGTGAATTCATTTTAAAGTATATTCTGTGAAGCGCACAACGACGTGATAAGGCGTGTGTATCAAATGTACACAAATGTATTGAATGTCAGTATTATTATTATTGGTTGACTGATTAAAGAATTCTAAAGTAAGGTTAGTGTTGGAACAATGGGGACAGTTCTGTGAACAAAACAAGGAAGGGAACCAGTGTTTCTGCTCCTAATTGTCATTCACCACGTCCTGTGTCGGATAGGGAGCACCAGAGTAGCAGCAATTACAATGGAAGGTGGAGTAAATTGAGTTACTGGAACACAATTGGATAGCATTTGCTTGTAAAATCAATGAGATGTAAGTGAAGGGTGGAGAGCGTCAGTGGAATTAAGCGGGGAAAGTTGAATAGTAAAGAGGTGCGAAGGACGAATGCTCTGCTGTTTTTTTGCTTGATTACATTGGGGTTCAAGGTGTTTCAATATACTAAACTTTCCCCCGGGAGATGGAGAGAGAATGTGGGTGTGATAGAATTGAATTCCAATGATTTGGAGAAGACTTTTTCTGCTTTCGTCTTTCTTTTTGTGACTAAAATAGCTAAATACTTCTACTATCTTTTTATAGAGTTTATGCTCTCGATTTGTATGCTTAGATCTTGAAAACCTAATATTTCCATTATAATCAGTCCTGGGCAGTTTCAAACCATCAGGCCAACCAGGTAGCGATGTCAGTAATACTCACATAAGTCTTAACTTTATGAATTGTATAATCGCCTAAGTCGTACATGCACCCGAGTCCCATTCAGTTTCCTGTCAAAATTACATAGATTGCTTTGCACTAGTTGTATTTATCATCTCCTAACTGAGAAATGTAGTCTTGCCGTATCACTGCATTGAATTACACATGCGCAGGGTAGATTATTGATTAAATTGGATTTTGTACGACTTGTACAGTTTGCCTGTAACTCTGACTTTGATTTGTCATATAAAATGTTATGGTCCCGACTGTTACGACTTGCGTGGGTTTTACTGTATTAACAGATCTATTAAACGTGTAGGATTTCTCAGCAGCTCTGGTTGTACTTGTATTTAGTCGAATCTGAATTTCATCAAACTGGTTCATTTTTACTACTCTGAGCCTATGGTTAAAACTCAAGGAAAGTGAATCAGTCGTGGAAACGAAACAAACAGCAAACAAATGTGTACATTTCACACTTCTGGGGGTTCACTTTCATACATTCATTCCCATTTCGATGTCTTTTTTAAGAGGCATTAAAGCTCAAACACTTTTGCCCTGAAAATATACAGTCAATTCATTTCACAATATATTCTGTGAAGCTCTTTGGGACGTCTCAACGACTTAGTAGGACGCTATGGCAAATGCAAGGATTATTATTATTATTTGGGGTTAAATACAAGCTGCAACCAATACATAACCATTCAAAATCAGATTCGAGAGAGAGAGAGAGAGAGAGAGGGTGTCTTACCTGTCCAAGCAGATGGGAGCAAAAAGGGAGCAAAGGAAGATCCTGGCGTCTGGGTGGCATTCCCTGGCCAACAAAGGCAGCCAACTGGAGGACTGCTGCATCACCTCAGCCAGGGTTTGGTGCTCCAGCAAGTTGGGGATCCGCATCTCCACATAGCCAATGTCGTGGCACAAGGCCATGGCCTTGGGAATGGGCAGACACCTGGTGGAGCTGCCCATCTTCACAGACATCCCCCGACAGGCGCAGGGCAGCAGGTACACCATAATAAACACTGAGATCCCGAGTTTGGCGTTAATGGCACTTCCAGTTGTTTCGAAGCTCATTTTTACTCTTTGTGCTACAAGTGGCCCCAATGGCTCACTTGCTGTCTCTCACTATTGCGCCCCAATGATCAGGGCAGTGGCCAGTTTGACTGACGATTTATAGGAGGTCAGGGCTCTGCTAATCCCCTCTCATTCGGTCGCTGCTCTGTGCAGTCTGTGGGGTAAAGGACAATGCTGGTGTTTTGTTTGAGAAGTGCTCTGATTGCTCAGCGTTTACAGGGCCCGAAGCTGTGCCAGCAGGTGCTGGGGGGTGGGTTGGCTGCGATGTGTGTCATCAGAATTATCCCATCGCTTCACTCCCCAGACGGCACTGTTGGAGACTTCTTTCTGTTTTACAGCGCTCCCACTCGCTGCTCAGTAATTGTCCAGCGATAAAATACTCCAGTACAGATCATTGCATCTCTTTTCGGGCTGGGGGGAGGAGGAGAGAGAGAAATCGAAGACTTCCCGATCTCATTAGCTCAGACACATTAAGACTTGTTTGTTTAAGGCAGTGAACCTTATGCAAATACTGTTGGGACATTAAAGCAGCGTTGAAATTGCTGTAATCACATTTACAAGGATTTAATGCACAGGCATTTCTTCCAGATGTTAATGTCCCTTTCTGTTTACCATCTTTCCTAGGAATCTGTGTGACTTGTAACTAAATACTGTGCTGTGGTTCCTTGTATCAATATTTTGGAAAGATGGGCATTCAGTCATCTAGTGTTTGGTTAGTTTATTTGCTAACACCGGTTTAATTTAATGTATATGGTGATTATTAATACCCAATCGAGTAGTTTACACTGCTTCTTAACGTTAAGATTTCCATTTCACTTTGAGGAGATGATGCTTGGAGCCATACAAGTGGGTTTCTGGTGTAGTCATCCTGCTTTAAACAGCCAACTGCGGGGCTGGGAAGTCAAGTGAAACGTTTATTTCTGAACCCGAAGAAATCAACATTTTTTACGAGCGCCACCAAAATAAAACTTTTAGAGAAACAGAGCAGTCGTTCGCACAATCATTTTGGCTATATTGTCGCTGTATTTGGAGGAAACCCATTATGTATAATGAGCCACATTGCCCGTTGCTCACTTTCAGCATTCGAGGGGGAAGTTATATTCCGTGCTTCTTGTTAATGGGAATTTCCTCATTTGCTCTTCAATAAAGGTGTGGGTTTTTCGCCAAATACACTTCACTTTTTCTACATTTGCAAATAGTTTTTTTTAACTTCGAAAAAAAGCTGTAGATCGATCAGTGTGATTTTGCGCCGAGCCTGTGTGTGTGTGTGTGTTGGTTTAATTTGAACTTATTGATTTCTGTCTGGTTCGGAAATTGCAAAACGAATTTCTTTTGCAGCCCAAATCATGTCCAGTTTTTTAAGCTCTCAAAAGGTACATTTGTAGCGTCTCCCGGAGTTTGGGGCACAGAAAAACCATTCAGATTGCAGCAATTCCTAGTTCGAAAAACGTTCAGAAAAAGAGATAAAAAGCAGTGAGATTGAAATGACAGGGTTCAAAAAACTATAGCCTTGAAACAAAAAAAAATGCTCTTTCCTGTACCAGATGAACGTGGAATCTGGTTCGAGATGAACAACTAAATGAAGAGGATTGAAATAGTAAATAAATGAAATGAAATGAACAGACTGTGGACGTAAAAAGCCCATTTACTTGGTGGCTGAAACAGCTCTTACAGTTGCGTGACAGAGACAACATGAAGTACACTTGCGCTTTGTGGAAACAGTGAGGTTTTTCCGGAAAAGAGTGCAATTTTGGAACGAAAAGTTCCCAGTGCCATGCTCCTTAGTCATCCTAATGTTTTTGGACCACAGTAATTGCCAGACTCCTCTCCCTCCTGCGGTTACCGATCCCCAAACAATAGACCCTCCCCCAAATATTCCGGAATGAATTTTCCGATTAAATGATTGAGAAAGTTTAAATTTCCGCTTTCCATTAAAAAAAAATGAATGGAGACTTACAATTGAGCATCGTTGGCATCATGCGGTTTTAAAGGATCTGGCCCCAAGTCAGCATTTCCTGCATTAATGTAACTCTCGTGTCATTTGAGAGTATTGTTGTTTAACTAACCGTGTTAACTTTATGAATGATAGTGTTCTAATGTCGTGGAAAGAATCTCATCATTAAATGATATAAACAGCATTTAATGATGCGGATTGTTTGAAAGCTGCAAACCCGGTTTGGACTTCGAATTGAATAACACTCCCCCCCCCACCATTCCACTGCTGTACTGTACAGTTCCTAATAAATATAAGGAATTTAAAAGAGAATATCAATAATCAATGGTAACTTTAGTAAATCCATTAAGCTCTCACAGAAACTGATGTTGACCTTACTGGATAAATGGTAGACTGTTAGATGTATATTAATAATAATACTTGCATTTTATGTAGCACCTTATCATTGTCTTTGAGACGTCTCAAAGCACTTCACAGAATATACTGTAAAGTGAATTGACTGTATATTTTGTGGAAGAAACGCGTAGATGAGTGGTCAAATTATTATTATTCATTTATTAATTTTTGAAGGGATTGTTACCCCAGAAAGCGATGCACCAATTGACTTTTAACAACTGGGTTCCTACTTTCTACTTACTGCTAGGTAGGCAGAGGCATGTGGAGTAAGGAAAATTGTCTAAAGATTTTGCCATGCCCAGGAACCAGACCTGGGTCCTCTCGCTTGCGAGGCGAGTGCTCTAACCACTACACTACAGGATTACATTAATCTCTAAGATATAAAGGTTTGAAATATAATTTTGAGACATACAATGTAATTACTGGGCAAATGGTTCAGATTGGGTTTTTGTTTTACTATATATTTAAGAGTTTAAAACATTTCAGCACCTTACAATCTTTTGCCCACATTTCTTATTCTTCATTGTTATAAATTCATTGTCCAGTTTTAAGAAACTTGACATTCTAGCATTTTAAGACAAAATTGTTTTATAGGCTAAAATCAAGTTGCATTTTGGGCCAAATATAGATCGTAATATACATGCAGAAAAAGGGAGAATTCCATATAATTCAAAACTTTTATCTCTGAATCTCGAACTTCTCTTGAGTTGCTGCAATGTTTATAAATAATCTTTTTCATTTAAAAGAAAAACATAGTATTCTTACTCAAATGTGTATAAGGGGAGAGAGGAGGAAGAGAACAGTAAGTTGTTATAAAATGCTTAGGACATGTTTCTGGGTTGAAATATTAATGACTTCATTCCTCTTTTCAATCTTAAGATTGTGATAATCCTTGCATTTGATATTGCGTCTTAGCACATTGTTGTGACATCTCAAAGCACTTCACAATAAAGTGTAGTGACTGTGTGATTAAAAAGGGAGTACCATGTCTAAAATAATGTTGGAAAGGTATGTCGTCTGTGCTCCAGGCTCCAAGGAGATGTGTCTAAGAGCAAAGTGGTATTCGCATAAGTATTCTAGAAGTTACCAGTGTATAAACTGTACGGTTATCATTTATTTATCCTCCCAAACTAAGAGCAGAAGAAGTGAAAAGGCAGAAGAAAGATGTTGTGCATCTTTTACTGTTTATTTGCAGACTTTTTATTCTCACCTTTTTTTCCCCGCCTCAGAGGTTCCCAGTTTCCTTTCGGAGGAGGAGTGCAAGCTGATTATCCACCTGGCAAAGCTGAAAGGTCTCCAGGAGAGCCAGATTATGCCCTCCGACCTCCAGCATGAGGCAATCGATGAGATGGATATCAGCAAGGAGGAGATCTTCAATCTGCTAGACTACAATCAAGATGGCCAGCTGCAGATGAAAGAGGTAGAGTGTTGGATTCGGGTCTCCTCTCCCTAAGAATTGTGATTCTTAAAGGAAATCTCTGGTTAAATGTCTGGTTAAAAACAGATTAAAGATTCAGATAATGGATACCTTAATATTGTTGGCCTAACTAATGGTGGCTGTCTTTTTATCCCTGAAGAGTTTCATTTGACATTGTTGATGTATGTTGACACTCTTGAAGAGCATGACTACAATTTGTCCAGTATTTTGCTCAGCTTTTAAATTTGACAATAAAATGGAAGGTTTTATCATAGGGAAGTTGCTGAATTATTCTTCTGAGTGAATCAGCTGATCTCATCTAGGATGGTAGTTGAGGCACAGTAGTTTGTTGTCTGGTTTAAGTAGGGGAGGTCGGACAGTGTTCTGACTCTTCATTACTGTCCTGGAGAGGGAAATTGCTAAACATGAATTTTGGCAGATGCAGCATTGGATTTGAGTGTAACAGGTTTGTGGTCAGGCTGAATTTGATTCTGCATTGCATTCGATATTGCATCTTTTACATTGGGAGATTGTCTCAAAGAGTTTTACAGGATTTACTGTAAAGTGTTGTGACTGTGTATTTTGTGGTTGAAACCTACAGCAATGTGGTTAGAAAGGCTCATGATCTGGGACATTACTGAACGTTAACCATCTATCTGACTTTCCAGTCCAGCATAAGTCATCTCTAACCTTCTGCCTGCCAGAGAGTACGGGATTACTTTATTAATACAAATGCTTTGTTACTACTTCAGGTTCTAACACTTTTGCGCTTTGGGGATAGCACATGGATTACACCAGAGACCGTCCAGGAGATCTACACAGGACTCAAAGCTGACCCAGATGGAAATGGTGAGAAATCTTTAACCTAGTTCAGTACAAACACAGCAAGCTGATCTACATTTGGATACCAATGGTTGACCTTGACTTTATATGATAGCATTCGAACAGACTAGCCTACCTGGTGTATGGCGTTGTAGCACATGCTGCCACATGCAGCACATGTTACCTTGCCTAAGTGGTAATTTTCTTATATGTGAATGTATTCATAAAATAAGTTACACAGTCCATTTATCCATTTTACTAAAGTGCCTGTTTCACTCTTTATAGGAATGGTAGCCACTGGAAGAAAGAAATTGGGATAGTGTTCCAGAAAATAACTGATGAGGAGATGATTGGGGGTGGGTGGGGAGTGTGTATCAAGAAAAGAGTGTTATGCAATTGCAGGATAGAGGGAATAGGAACCTTTAGTGGAAAGGGAGAGAGATACCAATCATAGAATGTAGATGTCATGACAATTCTAGTAATGTTTTTTGGGGGAACCAACTTTTACTGTAACTGTTGACTGCAGTTCAGAATTGGTTGATGCAAAATACTTGATTTCACAATGGATTTTCACTGCATTAGTTCACACTCGTGTCTAACCGGGCTCCAACAAATTACTGGACTTCCTGTGTCAGGATAGATTTATAAATTGATTTTGTCGTTTGCCCTGACTAATTGCAAGCGGAAAATGCTGCAGGAGTTCATTTTATGAAATCACAACGGATGCTGTGCTGTATCACTATGGTCGGTGCTTAAGAATGTCACTATTGTTACTACAGCTTTCTTTTTTGCAGCTGCGTTATTCAATGAAGGAAATAAATTTGAGACAAGCGGATGTGAGTTCAGTTGTAAGTAACAACTCAGGAATCTCCGCCGACTGCCCCATTTAAAACGCTCACACTCTGTGAACTGGGTTTGTCTATAATTTGAACCTCAGGGTGGCATTGAATGGAATCTTTTTCATTGTGATGTTGTGTGGTGCAATATCATATTTGATGCAACAACAATAACTTGCATTTATGTAACGCCCCTCACGCAGGTAGAGTTCCAGAGCGCTTGACAGTGGCGGAGTACGACCTTGAGCCGGGGGAGTGGGAGGTGACTGTAGGCGCGGTCGTATAGGAAGGACTTTTTAGGCACGACCTGAAGATGGAGAAGGAAGGGGCGATGCTTTATTACAGCGTTGAAATGCCTCAAAACACTTCATGGGATTCACTATAAAATATAGTAACTGTATTTCATAGGTGAAGGTGGTGGAAGAATTGATCCAAATCGAGGTTCTGTGAGCAGTCTGAATGGATTCACGGTCCCTTTTCTTCCTGCCCGTGTGTATGGTGGACTGTAATTGAAAAGGGCACCTAAAACATCAGATGGATTCATGTAGTTTGAGTCAGTGTGTGAGCCACAGTTAATTGTCGGTTTTATCAGATGCGGTTTAAATTTTAATTATTCTATGTAGTTTTGAATACTCTATAACGAGACTCAATACTCATTAAGAAAGTAACCGAGGAAAATTAAAGTCCATCTTCCCCTCCGAACAGGCTGCGATTTGTTGTTGCTCACTGTTACAGAGTTGCAATCGATCCCTTTTACAAATTCTTTATGTTCTAGCAGGAGGTTTGCATTTATGCAGATCTGTAACTGAATAAGAAGTGTTTTAGCACAAACAATCAGAATTTAGGTTTGGAATAAAATCTCCCCAACATCAGGCTCTGGATAAAACATTTGGTTTTCAAAGCCATAGATATGCATTAGGCTATTAGAAACTACCTGAGCTTAATCTCCTGGCAGGATGTATGCATAGGAAAACTGTGGACACTGGGAGGGGGCTGTGTGGTGGGTTAGCATATTATCTCTGGGACCTGAGTTGGAATCCAGCCCAGACAAAACAGGTACAAGCCTTCTGTCTTCTCTGGCTGAAATGTTTAGACAGTCTCCACCAAGTTCCTAGGTTTGAGTCCAAAACTGAAAACTTCCTATAAATTATGATGATAATCCTTGTATTTGATATAGCTCCTTATCACGTCGTTGAGACGTCTTAAGGCTCTTCACTGAATATAGCGTAAAGTGAATTGATTGTATATTTTATGGGCGAAACGCAGCAGCCAATTGCCCACAGCGGTATCCCACAAACAGTTGGGGATTGAGTGACCACCCAGTTATTTTTATTCACATTATTAACAATATAATACCATTATTATCATGTCTTTGAGATGCCTCAAAACGCTTCACAGAACATACTGTAATTGAATTGACTATCTTTTGTGGGTGAAACATGGCAGCCAATTGCGCACTGTCTCGCAAACAGTTGTGGATTGAGTGACCAAATTAATTTCTGCTCGTCTCCTTCTCTCTATACCAGTTACCTTCTCTTCTGCTTGACCTAGGTACATCTCCACCCCTCATTCCTGCCTCCAGCACACAAAACCTTACAACAGTGACCCTGCCTTATGTTTCTTGGGGTCAGGATGGGTGTCTGACTCATGAGAGGTCTCAGTTGTCTGATCTAATGCATCTTTGTGGAATACAGGCTTAAGAGGCAATGGGATTGCAACTTGAAATCCCAGGGGTTCAGCCTTTCACCAATTTGTACTGTTGATAAACCTATCAGTCATGTGAGTCACCTCTGTGAGTCATGCAATCCAGTCACTCCTGCCAAGTGAATGACCTAAATTGACCAGGTTATCCCTTGCTTTGTGCAGCACAAACTGGCTACCCCATATTGTACTAACTGCGGATTTTGTCATTTTAAAAAAAATAAAAACTAGGAATAGCACATTATGTTTTTTGCCCCAAGTCTCAAGTACTTGTATTTATTAAATTTCAACTGATACTCTTAATTCCTACGTAGCAACGTGGCATTCAGATAGTCAGCCTTAGGGGCATTCGATGCTGCTTCAAGGATTCGTTAAGACGTTTGTTGGTCTTTGCTTTCAACTTGGTATCCATGTCTTCCCGAGGCTTAGAGCAGCGTTTAACGTGCACAATCTTCTGTACCCTCCTCCTGAAGGTTGCATGGCGGGGTCTACGACTAATAATCCTCCTCCTTCGTCGCCTTCCCCCCCGGCATCTGGTTTTTCTCATCGTCCTTCTCCCACATCGTTTGCGTTGGCGACTGCGCCTGGAACGATATCTTGATTTGGTCATGGTTCTTTTGACTTTGACAACTGGTTGAGTCCTATCCCACCAATTTGAGATTTGTTAATGAACATTTGCCCCATCAAAGTACCTTTTATTGAGTGGGATCGCCATTGTTGAATGACCCAGAGTTTGGGTATCCATTATGATGTAAATTGACTTTGCCTTATAAGGTATTGATATGTCCCTCACCCCTCACCTTGTCTACCCTTTGACCACTCATTGATTGTAATTTCCCTGACACGGCTTTCATGCCATATATGGTCAAATTAATCACGTGGCTATCAATTTCCACTAGCCCCTGGTATGTTTCCTCCTGCTCGCTATTGCCACCCAAACCCACCGTTAGCTTTTCTTCTGCTTGACCACAATGCATCTCCACCCCTCCACACCAGAGGAAGTGGGGGTGGGGGCCTTGACGTACACACTAGACAAGCATCGGGGAATCGCTAGCCCACTCGCTCATTACTTGAACCCAACAGACAGGGATACATGTTCGATGCCAGCACTAGCCTGCACATCTTAAGCCCTTCTCAGCATACCAACAGCTATTCTGTCCCTGGAACTCCACTCCTCACACCAGAGCCAGCCACCCTGCCCTCACACCAATGACCTTGCAAGGTGTTTGACACACGCGGAAACCCGTGGGTCTGTCTCTTGAAGTTGAAGAGTCAGAGGCCACTTATACCAGTTGACAAACAGCTTTTACCATTTTTCTTTTGCAGAATGTCTTCAAACAACACTACATTCCTTCACGACACCTCACAGACATTTTTTTTTAAAAAAAGCTAATAAAACAAAAGTTTTGAATACTCTTTTGGCTCGTCTAGCAACTATGGCATCCAGTTTCATCAGTGAATCCCTTTTCTATTAAAAAAAAGGGCATATAATCTGGCCTGTTAAAATTAAGTAACACCACATATTGAGGTCTAGCTAATGATCACTTGGTGAATTTTCTGCAGGTCAGCCACTAAACTATCCAAAGGCTATTGGCCAAAGTGCTCGGGTTAAGCTGATACTATATTTTCATCCCAAGTATATCATGTCAGAAGAATTAGGATCAGGTAATCCTTCATTAAACAAAGGTCATTCCAGGCAGTACTGGGATCAGTGAGCACGTTCAGTGGGCTTTCATAGATAAAATATTAAACCTTTTTTAAAGAGCAGAATATGCCTTTTAAATGGAAAACATTGTATTATGGCTTAAACTCTGATTTAATGGTCAACACAAACACAAAAGGTCTCAAGTTTGCAGGCTGAATGCATACTTCCTTATAATGTTTTACCCAAAGCTTGATGTTGGGGAGATTTTATTTCAAAAATAAATTCTGATCATCTGTGCTAAAACACTATTTGTTCAGTGACAGATTTGCACAAAGACTTCTCCTGGGTTCCTCCTGTTCCATTTTCTTTACAATTAGCAGAAGGGGAGGAGGGGTGGAATGGGGGAGGGGGGGCCACATGTTAGTGTTGACTCTGCATCCCAAACCTTTCTGTTTAAAAATCCCAGTGTTTTCCATGTCTTGTTGCCACACTAGTTTCATACAATCATAGAATTATACAGCGCAGAAGGAGGCCATTCGGCCCATCGTGTCTGTGCCGGCTCTTTGAAAAGAGCTATCCAAATCAATCCAATTCCCCTGCTCTCTCCCACAGCCCTGCAAACTTGCCCTCCCCAAATAATGATCTAATGTTTGGAATGTATGAGATCCAAGTTTGCCTGCGAAACACCCAATCACTGCACTTTAGTATGTCCTATGGAAGGCCATTGGGACGTGTTCCTAATATGAAAGATGCTATATTAAATTTAAAGATTATTATTATTATTATCCACATGCAGCTCCATCATGGTAAACACTTGATTGCAGGTGTGGATACTGTGGCAATGGAGATAATAATAAACCTTGCATTTCAATGTTGCGCTTATCACGTTCTCAAATGTGTCAAAGCGCTTCACAGGATTTTACTGTAAACTGTAGCGACTCTGTTTGTAGGCAAATATTCCTCTTGTGCACTGGGATTTGAGGGCATTTGTTGGACAACTCAAGGGAAAGCTTCATCCAAACAAGAGGTGATTCACTGATCCGATGATGATAATAATATAAAAATAATCCTTGCATTTAATATAGCACCTTATTATGTCGTTGATCTGTCTCAAAGTGCTTCACAGAATATATTGTAATGTGGATTGACTGTGTATTTGTGGACGAAATATACAAAATTACCCCCCAAATAAGGCTTAGCAACTAAGTTGGGAATGTTTTTAGCATAAAGTGACTTAAGCAGCATTCTATATAAAGGCCATTGAGCTCTTATTCCATTTGAATGCTCTGCAGAGCAGATAACAAATGCAATATTGAGTGGAATTGATGGTGAAGATTGAGCTTTTGTCCCCAAGTGAGTGGCAGCCATAGGGGGTAGCAGGTCCATTATAAGATGTTGTCCTGCCACTTTGCTCTCCACTCAGTGGGTGGGAGAGGAAGAGTGGCACTCCCACTGCTAACCTGACTTAATCCACTATTGTGACTTCTGACCTACTGCTGGGATGGAGATACTGTAATTAGTCCCTAATTGTGTGCCTTGCCCATTATCGCTGGAATGACGACACACTTGGCAGGACAACACTTTGCTTACCTCTGAGTTTGGGCCGGGGAGGGGAGGGAAAAGATTTGCCTTGAAGTTGACTAGCTTGAGTTCAGGAGAAAATTGGCCAGAATTAAAACGTAACATTGCCTTTCAGGTTTACTGAGTCTGGAAGAGTTTAAGCAACTTAACACCAACGCTTTCCAGACATACCTGAGGCAGCACGGAGTTGAGAAAAGTGAGCTAGTACGTAACAGCAAGAATGCATGGCTGTACCAGGGAGAAGGAGCACATCAGATCCTGAGAACCCTTCGACACAGGTGAGCTTCTACACTGAATGTGGCTTCTCCCAATGGCCTGCGAGGTAAAAGCACTGTCTGGGCCATATCGACTGGAAGGCTGCAGGTTCGAATCCCTTCTTTTGTCAAATACCACCACAGAATCTTTGACAGGCACCCACCTGAACAGTCAGACAGGGCATCTCATCTGAACAAGGTCACACTACGCAGCACTGCAGAGTTGGGTTAAATTATATGAGTTCCAAGTCCTGTGTTATATAAATAACAGACATCAGGCTCCTGCATAATTTTACCTGATGTGCCATCGCTTCACTTAATTGGAATTGCAGTGAGATTGGAGATATTTCACAGTAAATCAGCTTCAATCCAAACAGCTCAGTCTGCCTGTTTAAGCCAGCTGTTTGACTTTCCCTTGCTTATGTTGCAAAATTTACAGTAGTTTTGCTCTTCTGGCTAATGTGTAACCTGCACACAATACAAATGGGACTGTTCGCACAACATCCAAACCCCCTCAGGCAATACGTGCAGAAGCAGCACTAGTTTACATGTGTACCATTAGTGTTACACTCACAATACAGAGCAAATGCTCGCAGGACTCCCTCAGCAGGGTATCATGCTACAGATAATGGGGTGTAAATTGAAAAGTCACAGTACACAGAGTTAAGAAAGGAGAATAATGGAAATCCAGCTGTAAGGAAGCCCATGATTACGCAAGATAATTATGTGGTTTTGCTAGTCTGTACATTAGTACATTTTATGAGATTATGAGTAATTCTGTTTGATGAGCAAACAGTCAAATTACCATCCCTAATTGAAGAGAATTTAGCTAAACGTACCACCTCAAGTCAATTCACTGTTTTTGTCAGACCTTATTAATCTCTGAGCAATGCAAAATGGCAGACAATTTTTATGCAAACAGGAGAGGTTGTCCTATCCGTAAATAGCAAAAAATATCTAAGGTTCAGCAGCATAGAAACAACTGTATCCAGCAAAATGTTTTTTCACCAAATTCTCTCATGTATTTCACGCAGCGGTGTGCTGCTCACCTCGCAGGGAGTTTGCCATCTGCCTTGTGGGGACTCAAGGCTGCTTGACCAGAATACAACCAACATCTTTTGGTCTGTGGAACTATATCACAACATGTATTTCTGTCTATACCAAAGAGGTCTGATTTGGGCTCTTTTGAACTCTTCCTTCTGAAATCCTAACCCTTCAGTCTTCCCATCACAGCATTAAGGGGTTTCTTCAAAAATCTGGAGTCCTAGGTTCATCTACACTGGTCACCCATCGAAACTCTCTTAAGAAGAGGGAACATTGAAGGGGTGGGGAAAGAATACAAATGTTATATTTCTAAGTGTGAGCGTGGGAGAAAGGGACTTGCGTATTCTTGAACTATTTTACACATGCTTTGTCTTAGGGTGATTAAGCTGACGAGGTTACCTCCAGAGATTGTGGAACACAGTGAGCCACTGCAAGTGGTGAAGTATGAACAAGGTGGACACTACCACGCCCACCATGACAGTGGACCGATCTACGCAGAGACCAGCTGCTTCCACACAAAACTGGTGTCGAATGTATCTTCTGCCTTGGAAACCTCATGTCGGTAAGTGACCCTCTGAGGGAAATCCCCTCTAATAAGGTGATTATTGAACTAATCCTGCATCCGTAATTTGCCAAAGATTGTGTGGTTATCCATTTAACTGCTAACCCAGAGAGCCTTTGAACAGAGTTGCTCAGCCTTACCGTATATAAAGCAAAATGAGGATATTTATAATTTTGTAAAAATGTAAATAATATAATTCTACGAGAGACACCCCAAAAGTAATGCTTCCTATTTATTTTGTGAGGAATAGTACGTGGTACAGTACAGTAATGAAAAACATATACAAGATAGTTTTATGTGTCCCGCTCCTCCTGTGAAAGTTGCAGCTAGATGGAGTCACCGATTCTGTGTAGATGCGAGTCTTGTAAGACGCTGCGTAAATCGTGTGAAAAGTGGAGAAAGTGAATTTCACAATAGATCTCACAGTGGGTGGCCGACAACAGCTGATAGTGAAGAGAATACACAGAAAGTTGATGAACTGATCCATAAAGATCGATACGACACTCAGCGGGAGTTGAGTGACAGTCTCGGTATCAGTCATCATGTCGGAGAGATAGTTATTGGTAACCTTAGTTATTGGTTACTCTAACATTTGCGCTTGGTGGGTTCCACGAATGTTAACAATGTTTCACAAGGAAATCAGAAAGGCCATTTGCTTTAGTTTCACTCACAAAATATACAGTCAGTTCACTTTACAGTATATACAGTGAAGCTCTTTGAGAAGTCTCAAAGATGTAACGAGGCACTATATCAAATGCAAATATTATTATTATTATTCGCACATAATTTTACCATAATGGCAAACTGGCAGTGGTTCCACTTTGGGGCAAGTGTGTAGATCGTAGTGGTGAGTGACTTTGTGGAAAAATAACTGCATTTGTGTATTTTAAACACTTCTTTTGTGCCTATCTTAAGTTTTGTATGTGAACAATTAAAGAATTTTGAGAAAGGAGGCATTACATTTTGGGTGTCCCTTATATATTAGGGTTAGGTTATGTATAATATATATATATCCTGTAGCTCAGTGGTTAGAGCACTCGCCCTGCAAGTGAGACACTTGGGTTCAATTCCAGGCAGAGCGAAACCTTGTGCAAGTTTCATTACTCCACGCACCTAATAATAATCCCTCCAAAACAATAATAAATTGGTCATTTTCAATCCACGACTGTTTGGGGGACACTGCTGTGCGCAATTGGCTTATTATTATTATTGTTATATTATATGTATAAAAAATTCACAATATATAAGATTCACAAAGAGCCACACCAGCCTTTGTGAACTGTTTGTCTTGAAATTTTGTGAAGCAAGTGCAGGTTTGGCTTTCTCCCTTAAGATTATGTTGAATGCCCATTGTGCCTTTTTCAAGTGGTTTCCAGAATGCAATTTCCATGGATATATTTACAGACTGCTTCCCCTTTCTTCTGGTTTCTGTTTGTTGAAGTGTCCAATTGCTCTCCATTTCTTCACTTCAAAATAATGATGATAATCCTTCCATTTGATATTCTGGGAGAACATCTCAAAGAGCTTCACAGTGAATGTATTTGTAGGTGAACACAGCAGCCATTTTGCGCACAACAATGCCCCACAAATAACTGCAAAATCAATGACCAATTTTATTTGGGAGAGTGTTGACCAGGACTCTGGGAGAAATCTCCTCTTTTTGAGTCATGCCGTAGGATCTTGGATGTCCTTGGATGAACAGGTAGACGGGATCTGGGTTTAACAGCTCATCCGAAGTACGGCACCTCCGACAAGAGTGTCGGTGCAAACCGTGACATCAGAGTCTTGACGTGGACTTGAATCCACAACTTTCTGATTCAAAGACGAGAGCGTAACCAGCTGAATTTTAATGATGGGATGACTGAGCCTTTTCTCCCCTGTAGGTATGTGACGGTGCTATTTTACCTGAACACTGTTTCTGGAGGAGGGGAGACTGCCTTTCCTGTAGCAGACAACCGGACGTACGATGAACTGGTAAATGCAAACCACCTTTTGAATATATCTTTTTTTCCTGACTAATCGCAATCCATTCTAGAACTGGCACGTAAACTTGGCTTCTTTGAGTTCTCAGTAGCTGGAAGTGGAGCTTTTTAAGTACGGCAAGAGGTTTTCTGTGCACGTCAGATACTCGGGTGACCTAAATATCTTTAAACTGTGTGGCCTTAATTCAGAACAGCCTGTCTGCACTTGTATCAATGTCAATCCAAATGTGTTGGCAGAGCATGAGAGTGGCAGGATTTACACTGACTCCAGACTCCCAGCACCTTATAATCTTTGCAATTAATATAGCGCCTCATCACGTCATCAAGATGTCTCAAAAGTTCTTCACAGATATACTGTAAGGTGGTGTGTCTGTGTGAATTTTGCGGGTGATCATGGCAGTCAGTTTGCGTACAGCAATGTCCCACAGGCTGTTCAAAAACCTCTGCCTGAACCCAATTTGATATAAGAAGATAATAATAAACCTACTATTTAATATAGCGCTTGTCATGATGAGAGGCTGTCTCAAAGTGCTTCATAGAATATACCGGTTTAAAATAATAATTTGGTCACTCAATCCACAACTGTTTATGGGATACTGCTGTCCAGCACCTTGGGACGTCCTCCCGACGTGAAAGGCGCTATACAAATGTAATCTTGTTGATGCTGCTGTTGTGTGAAATTGGCTGCCACGTTTTGCTCACAAAATATACAGTAAATTCACTTTACAGAATATTCTGCGACTCGCTTTGAGACCTCTCAACGATGTGATAAGGCGTTATGTCAAAGGCAAGGATTATTATTATTATTATAAAACTACACCTCAGTACAAACCACTGCTTTGGGAAGAAACTCAAATGTTCCTATGTCTTTAAAACTAGGTACTTGCCAATGAAAAGTTAATTGTTGCCATTTTTACTTCCTTGCTATTTTGAAGGTACTGGCTGGCCGCAGCTGTGGGAAGTCTCGCCCCGAGTCGCTCGATGCGCTGCACTCATTTCTTGTCCTCCAATTTTGTCTCCTCAGTTTTTAATCCAGAATGACACTGATTTACGGGACACGCGTAAAAACTGTGACCGAGCTAACCTCCGGGTGAAGCCGGTGCAAGGCACGGCTCTCTTCTGGTACAACTACCTCTCTGACGGCGAAGGTACTTGATCGCCGACACTAAGGCTCGACGGTGTTTTACAAGCTTTGTCGAAAATAATCCTTCCATTTCATATAGCGCCTTTCACATAGAGAGGACGTCCCAAGGCGCTGGGCGGTCCCAGGATTTGCATCCGAGCGAGAGGTGGGGCAAAGGGGGAAAGATGGCTGAAAGCATGGTCAAAGAGGAAGGTTCCCGAGCTGGGCCTTGAAGGAGGAAAGGGAAGGGGTGAGCTGAAGGGACTCTGGGACGGGGTTCAGGAAAGTGAGGGCTGTGAGGGACGTGAAGTGCGCCCCAACATTGTCCTGGAGCGTCAGCCTAGACACGGGGTTGCATATAAATTTGCGGCGTTCAAAACAGCATTTCAGACATTGCACATTATGTTTATACTTTGTTCTTCCTTTAAAACAGACCCTCTCCCACAGAGCCGGGGATACTCTGCTGCTATTGCTTAACTCGCCACAAGGAGGCGTGTGACAGCTGTGTTCTGTTTCTGAAAACAACTTCCCTTCCTGTGGGGGCAGTGCCCATCCTCTGCTTGGGACCTCCCTATAACAGCTCATGACAGCCACCGAGACCTGCCCTGCGCCTACTCTTATGTTAACGTCTGCAGCTAAATGTTTTTCCCTATTTCCTGCTTCTGAACGTCAATAACAGGATGTCAGTGATCTGTACCTAATTGTTTGTTTCCCTGATTTTCGTTCAGGTTGGGTAGGAGAACAAGATGAGTACTCGTTGCACGGCGGCTGCGTCGTCACCCAGGGAAACAAATGGATTGCGAACAACTGGATCAATATTGACCCAGATGTGCAACGTCAAGTCAAGTTCCAACAGGCGATTTCCAAATACACCAACGGAGAAGCTCCCGCCAAGTGGGCGATTGATAACATTTATCAGGATCTGCATGTCGAGCTGTGATTCCTCCTCCTGACTGGAATGAATGCCTTTCATGAATCGAATTTCCCAATTTTTCCCCACTCTCCCCTTTTTAGACTAAAAACTTTGAAGGTAAATTGCACTTATAGATTGTTTTTTTCACTTTGACTCGCTCCAGGTGAAGTCTTTTGCTTTCTCTCTCTTTCCCCCCCAGCTATGGCTGTCAGCAGCACACGCTATATCCCAGGTTAGAAAAGCTGGACTGGAAGCGGCCTCTCACAAGGGTTGTGCCAGCGCTGAGCTGTGCTTTCTCTCTCTCTCCTCATCTGGAAGTTCCTAGACTGTGCTCAACACTTCCCTTCAGCGCAGCCGGAGATCACCAATTGGGTTGTGGGGGGAAATCAGTTCATCATAGACCAGGGAATCAAACCTAAGGCTTTCATAAACTGTAAGGCTTGCTACCATAACACACTTGGCAAACCCACTGTGTAAGGTTGCTTGGACAGGTCTATTTCCTTACACAGGATATCATTCTCTTAAGCTTTCAGGACTTGTTTGCTCTGACATCCACGATTAGCAATGCCAATTGCTCTCATTATATTACAATGTGGTTATTGACCAAGTGAAAATAATTTATTTAACAGATAGTATTTTGAAAAGATGTTTCTACCTGTGGCTCAAAAAGGCTTAGTTGCCACTGATGTGCAGGTGTTTAATTTTTTTACATTTGTGTGAAAGTATTTTTACACTGATACAAAAGAAACAAAGTTTGTCATTTTATTTGGGGGGGGGGGAAAGGAATGGGGATAAATCCCAATTTTCCAATTCTTTCCTCATCCCCCAAATCAGGAGCCGGTTGGCACCACAGGATGGGGGAAGGGTTGAAGCCCCCATCCCCTCCTTACCTGATTGAGAAATGAGATTAATTTTAAGTGAGGTCTGGACCTTTGCGTTCAAACCCATCAGCAATCGATCGGGAAGCCAGTTCTCTTCTGTTGTGGCTCATTCAGGCCCATTCCCCTGTGTAAAACTCTTGTGTGTTTTAACACCCGACAAGATAAAGAGTGTTTGTCTGGCAGCAATATTTTTAGGAGGTATCAGAAGTGTGAAGTATTAAAACAAATTAAAAACAGGTAAAATGGATCAAGCTCCCAGATCGCAAGCAATAAGACTTGAAATATTTCCACAAAGCCCACTGCAGTGCGTAATTATTTTTAAAATACGAGATCTGAACACTTAAAATCCTTGCTCTGACTTCACCACAGTGCTTGCAGTTAAATCTCCTTAGAGGCTGCCTAACTTTGTCGGCATCCTGGCTTCCTCATCTCTGACTTGCATGTACTCGGAGCTTACCACAGTTAAAATGCTGTAAATGTCAGGCCACACCTCTGTCCCTTCCCCTCAGTCCACTTTGCACTCTTTATTACCTGATACTGTATTTGAGTGTGCATTTTATTCCAGTTAGTACCAGAAACTTTCTCTCGAAACAAGCTGAAGTAAGTGGATTCTAAGCTCTACTGTGGGTACCTTTTGATCATCCCTACTGTTTAGCATTTTTTAAAAAAAGTTTGTATTTTAGTGCATTTTATTCTCTTGTTTGACTGACAGTTTGCCTGTCCATCCCTTTCCATGTCTGGTAAGCATTTCCTCTTCATCCAAGAAATCCAGACATATTTGTTTTGCTGCTTTTAAGGAGGACATGCTGTGAATTTCCTTCTTCTGAGTTGGGACATTACAGACTCCCAACTTTCTAACTGGTCTGTGCACCTCTATTTCCACCCTACATCACATTTAATAGGTTGGAAGTTATATCAACGATGTATGCAACTGAATAATGGGCCAGGCTTCTACGTTTTGAGCTTAAGATGACATTTGTATCTGGAGAATTGCAATGATTTACAAATATTGTTGGGTTAGTTAACTGTAAAATGTCTACATGTCACTTGTTGCTATGTTTTGTGGTGGGTCAGACACCTGATAAAGCTGAGTGGGAAGGGGCTGGTGAATTTGGATGGTCTGGCTGCAGGCGCTGCTTTGTGCTGGTGTGCAGGTGAAAACAGATGATGAACTCTGTTCTGGCCATTTGTTCCCTGCGTTATTCAAAATCTTACAGCAGGTGAGGCAATTCCTACAGATTCATTGCATTAACTCAAGAATTCCTTGCACAGATAAATCATAAAGGACTAAGTGAAGGTAGAGGTGCAATCACGTTGAATTTGTTGTAGAATGTGAGGGGGTATTCTAATGGATTGCCCTCCAACTTGGCATATTTCCATGTAATGTGCTTTTGTCAATTTTTTTTCTAAAAACTGTGCACCGTTTGCAATTGTCATTATAGCACTATTTCAGGGGTTTCAGTTGCAAAGAGCTACATTCACTCAGTTTATTGGTGTCTCTATTCCCTTGGTTATTCCAAGGATGGACTTGACATATATCTGTCACTTTATTTTCTGAGTATACCTGAATCCTGAATTTCATCATTTTCACAGTCTTAAAGCTGATGTCTTAACATTTATGATCATGTACAATTTTTTGTAAAATTCTTCACCCCAATTTGCATTTATATGGCATCCTTCAAGAGGGAAGCGTCTCAGAGCCCATATCAGTGGTGTAGTTTGACGCTTAGATGGAAAGAGGGGGGAGGTGACTGAATGCGCAGTTGAGAGGAAAGTCTTCAGGTGTGATTTAAGGATGGGCAAAGAGGGGGCAAAGGGATATTAAAAGAGAAAGCAAAATAACAACAAGATTACATTTAAAATGCACAGAGAGATTGAGGCCAGGAGTTACAGAGATTTGAGGCATAGTTAAAGTTGTCTTTATATGGAAACTGATTTGTGTAGTGCTTTTTAAGAACTGTAAAAAAAATAATTTGAAATTAAGAGATTGAAGAATTTTTCAACATTATTGCATGAACTTACATTTTCAGACAATGGTTTTAAGGTTTACCGGTTTTCAAGCTACTTGTTTTTAAGGAAGCTGCTGTAACAATACAATGCAAACCTAACACACAGGAAGGTAACCAGTGGATATCTCAGAGCTCTACTTATTGTCATCTCTAAGTTTTCAAAGTTTCAAAAAAAGTATTTTTTTATTCCATTCAAAACAAAATAAAAACTACATTTTAAAAGAGAAATAATTTGGAAAGCTTGAAAGGAAATGCAGTATATTTATCTAATGTCACCCTCACATTGTGTGAGTTATTTATTAAAGGACATTCACATTTTACATTTAAAATTCACGTTTTATTTATATTTAATGAGTGACTCCCTGAGTTTCTACACTGAATCGTTTTGTGTTCCTATTTGTTTTAAGAACATTCATAATTTATTTTGTATTTATTAAAGTTATCCGTGTTTTATTTATATTTGATGCATGTCACTAACCTTGTTTGGTGGGGAAATGTGTGTCTCATTTGATTTCCCTCAGCATATTTAATGATAGACTTTGCACTCAGTCCCCCAAGACTGCTTGGGTTACTCAGGTAATTATGTGTGAGCTTTCATCTGAAATCCAATGCGTTTCTTGTCCATCCTGCATGTATAAACTCACTGAATTAGTGTAATTTATTGTACTCTGAATGTCTGTCCCAGTCTTTACTTGATTAATGTTCAACAGTAAACAAAATCATTAAAATCTGACCTCGTTTGTATTTATTGCTATTTACACGGCAAATTTTGCAGCAGTGGTTCAGTATTCAGTGATATCATTTGAAAAATATTCAGATTAATGTTTAGAACATCTTTCATACTTTATGCAGACAAATGCAAATTTCACTCTTTTTCTTCAACCACATTTCATCAGCTCTACAGGACCTCACCTAAGTATCAATGTTCACGTGTGAACCTTTACTGTGGTTTAACCTTAATTTACACTGCATGCTAACACAATGCTCGACATTAAAATGTGCAATACGGATCATAAGATTGGTTTGGATGAAGAAGGCCCTTCAGCTCATTTTATCTCACACTTCCAGAACACCCAAACTATAATAATAATCCTTGCATTTGGTACAGCACCTTATCAAGCCATTGAGATGTCTCAAAGCGCTTTTTACAGAATATATTGTAAAGTGGATTGACTGTGTATTTTGTGGGTGAAACGTGGCAGCCAATTGCGCACCGCAGTGTCCCACAAACAGTCATGGAATGAGTGACCGCATTTTTTTTTGAGGGATTATTAGCCCCGGAAAGCGATCCGCCAATCAACTAAGAAGCGGGGTCCTACTTCCTGCTCGGTAAACAGAGGCTTGGTAGAGTAAGGGAACCTGCCTAACGTTTCGCCCCGGAATCGAACCCAGGTTCTCTCGCTTGTGAGTTGAAAGTGCTGACCTCTATGCTACAGGATTACAGGCTTCCCATTACAGCATCGAGCCGTTTCTTAAATGAGCCCCAGTGCCCTGGCCTCAACCAGCCTTCCCATCCATCAACCTGCTCCAACAACAGCGATTCCACCTCAACTAACGCCACCCCAACCACCCAGACCCGAGGCAGAACCTGGCACTTTCCTCCCGCAAGTTCCCAGGTGCGATCCTTTGTCTGGTGACTTCCACCACAACAACAACAACAACAGCAGCAGCAGCAGCAACCAGATTCCATTTATAGAGCGCCTTTCACGTCGGGCGGTGTTCACTTCAGGAAGTGTCGGGGCATTAAAATTGGCACCAATATGCCTCTGAGCTGGGATCAGGAATACCGGCCAGGAATCCCACTCCCGATTTGCTCCCCAGTAATTGCGGTTTGGAAGCACATGTGTGGAGGTTGAAGTGGGGGGAGAGCGGGGAGGGGGGGGGGGGGGAGGGGGGCATAGTTGGGTGTGGACCCAAATCTCCTGATGGCATGTCCTGATGGGTGGTTTGAATGGGGGACGGGACATAAAGCAGTGTTGGCTGAGCAGGGGTCGCCGGGTTGATAGGGGCTTTCGGGAGGTGACCGAGATTGGGTGTGGGGGCGATTCCCGGAGGGAATCGAATTCAAGACGCGTTTTTATTTTTTAAGATTTTTTTTTAAAAAAAAACCACGACAATTAAGATTAAAAAAAAATAAGAACCGTACGGAATTTCCTAATGACTTAGAATATGTAAAGGCTTAAAATATACCGCATTTTAATCACAAACGATGACTCCTGAAGGGCTTGACCTGAGCCGGGTTTGTGGGGTTTAAATGGCTCATTGCCCCCCACACCCCCCACACCCCTCCCCCCACCCCTCAGGCACATTTGGCAACATTGCAACTTTTTTCTTAAAAGCCATAGCAACGTTGTAGCAACGAATCAACCAATTGCCTTTGGGCTTCTTCTGACCCAAACTCTTCCGGGTGGAGTCGTGTGTGTGGGGCTGTGCCATTGGTGTGGAGGACAAGAAGGAGAGAGAGAGAGAGAAAGAGAGAGAGAGAGAGTCACTGCAACACATGGAGCAGCTTTGCTGCAATGGAGCATCCAAAGAGAGAGAGAGAGAGAGAGATCTGCAACAAGACTGGTGTTAATATTCCAGCCAACAGCTGCATAAAGTCATCCTGCCACAGGTTCTGGGGAGATTGCATGATGTATTGAGTGCAAAATATATATAATATATATATATATATATATTATGTGCATATAAGGGGTTTGGGTGAACTCTGCACTCACTGTGCAATGCAGTGTGAATCAGTGCTGCTGCTCTCTCCCATCACAGCCCTGCAGTTTGTGGGGGACTGTCTCCTCTCAGGTAATTGAGACAGATTTTTGTGATGTTACTACTGGAAATTACCCTCCCACCGCCCTCCCCCAATTTTAATCCACCCACCGGGCACTGTTTTTTTTATTGAATAAGGTCGATACGCTCCCACCGGGGCGGTGCCATCCGCAGACGTGGGGTAAACTTCCGCGCGACGCGTATGCGGGTGACGCACAAATCTACTTTGCCTCCTCCGGTACCGACTCCGGGTCCGCCGATGTTCGGTCGGTTTGTTCTGGCGGACGTCGGGGCCCGGACGAGGGTAAACTTCCTGCAGTTGAATGTGGACAAGGCGGATCTAAACCCCTTCACCGCCCTGGGCTCTCCCTCGGACTCACCGAACCACTGCGCAACCTAAGCATCCGGTTCGACCCCCAGTTGTCCTTCCTCCCCCACGTCCGGTCCCTGACCAGGACCGCTTTCTTCCACCTCCGACCATACCTTACCCCAAATGCGGCTGAAATCCTCGTGCGTCCAAACGGATCAACTTCAGGGATCCTCGTGCGTCCAAACGGATCAGCTTCAGGGTTCCTCGCGCTGGTGTTGAAATCCATTCACTCCCCGGCTGCTCGCTACCTCTCCCAGAAGGTAATACGTGTAGGTTGGCAAGGCTTGGGCGCTCCAGAGTATGCATTATGGTGTTGCTGAAGATTAATGGGTTAAAACCACGCAGCTCACCATTGCAATCTTCTTGCCGTTTATCCAGCCAGTACTGTCCCACTCTGCCTGTTAGGGCTTTGGCTTGCAGGGTTAACAAGAGCTGATGAGCTTCCAGTGACCCGTCTGCCGCTCCAGACCCTGTCGACGAGCCAAGCTCGCTGGTCTTTCATCAGCAATGCCCTGAAGAGAGAAGCACCTTGGACGAGGCAGAGCAAATCAAACAGCATTCCTCTCTCTGATCGGTGTTTGGAGAGCGATACTGGAAATGGGTGCGAAAGGCTGAGCAGTGAAGGTGGCTCCATTATAACATCCTCCATTGGAGGATTTTTATCAATGAGCACTGTCCCGATGCACACATACAAACATTAGTCACTTAGACAAGGTGCTGGGTGTCTGGTTGCTTTCATTACACCCTCGTCAGCAAGAATTGGCCAAAAGAGGACAGGAGCATTTTACAAAGCGGATTCAGATGAAGGAGGCGCTTTGACCCTTTTGATCTCCTTCCAGAATCCCTGCACAAATACTCTCCCCTCCATCAGAGCATTAAGCTGTTTTTTAAATGAATCCCAGCGTCCTGGTCTCAACCACCCTTCGTGGTAACCCTGCTCCTGATGTTAATTATCTTCTGAGTAAAGAAATACTTCCTGGTGTCTGTCCTGACCTTTCCCTCCGCACCCCTGAACCCGTGCCCTTCTCGTTTTGCTGCCTTGGCGTATCTGAAAGGATTGTCCTCGTGCCGTCCGCTTCCAACATCTCATTCGCACCCTCAGGCAGGGCCGAGCAGGTTGTCAAACATCTCTGTTAACGTATAAGTTGGTTGCGTGATATTTTTGATTGTGGCTTCTGCTCTCTTCAGCTCTGCACGCGGCTGCCAGGATGGCGGAAGGCGAACCGCGTGGACCCTGGTCTTCTTCCGTGTGGCTATTCTTATGTCCTTCTGCTCTCTTTGCCAGGCGAGGGCGCCGATGTGCACGTGTATACCTTGAGTCCGGCCAGCGACAGCCACAGGGCAATTACCCGCAATGTCCTTCGAAACTACTGTATTCACGGAATCAAACCACAGCCGGGCTCCCACACCCAGGCACATGGCTCCCTGTTGGCCGTTTTTGGAGCGAAAGGGCTCATAGTCCTGCAGCTCTGCGTACGTGACGAAGGGCCGGATCTCCGGGAGACGGGTCAACTGCGGGAACTGCACGACTGGATTTGGGACCTTCAGTGGCTGAAGGGGGATCACGTGTCCAACGTGTACTTCGGCCTGGCTCTTGGCCACAATTCTGTGGTTCTTTACGACTACGAGGCCGGGAACGCACTGCGTGAAATTCACTGCGATGAGAAATGTATTCTGTATTCCGCCTGCTTTGTGGGTTGTAGCTGGGCTGAGCTGGTGTTGGTGTCTGGAACTGTCTTCAACCAGCTTGTCATATGGCGAATGGAAGGTCCAACAGACCCGGGCGGCAGAGTGAAGACAGCTAAACGAATCATTGGGCACAATGGGGTCATCTTTAGCATCAGTTACTTGGAGAGCAAAGGGATTCTTGCCTCTGCCTCAGACGATAGAAGCATTCGGGTCTGGAATGTCGGTAATTTACTGCACAACCTGGGAGCTGAGACGTCGGGAGCAGCCTCTGTTCAGTGTCTCCTGAAGCTGTACGGACACCAGTCTAGGGTTTGGTCAGTGAAGCTCCTGGAGGACTATATTATCAGCGTTGGAGAAGACTCGGCTTGCATTGTATGGGATTACAGCGGAGAAATTGTTAACACTTTTAAGGGCCACAAGGGGAGGAGCGTTCGAGCACTGGCGGTCAACGAGGACCAGGGTTGGGTGGTCACTGGAGGAGCTGATTCAGGGATCAGATTGTGGACCATTAAAGAGAAAGAATCAGAAGATTTGGCCATAACTCAACTCAATTTGGGTGACGCCGAGAAGCCAAAGATGCCCAAAGCGGTGAAGTTGGTTGACCAGACTCGGCTGTTGGTCATGACCGACGCTGGTGGCATCTACTGCTATCACTTGGCCTCCAAAGAGTGGAAGCTTCTCCTGAGAGACCCAAGTTACCAGTCGTACAGCTTGCTGGAGGTCACTGCCCTCCCCAACGGCAGCGGGCTTTGTGCCGCTGGAAATATCAAAGGCCACATTAAGATATTCCTGATTTCCAACCCTGGAGATGCAGTGGAGAGGATGGTGTACAGAGGGAAGGTCCACAGCTTGGATTGGGTCTGGAGAGAAGAGGACAGGCCGGGCATGTGCAACCTCTTCTCATCCGGCCCGGACGGAGCGCTGGTTTGGTGGGCGGTGTCCTGGGAGGCTGACCGCGTAACATCCGTGGTCGCGAGCTGTCGTTACTCCCTCCCTCTGTGCAAGCAGAGGTGGCACACGAGCGCAGCATTCCTGCCGGAGGGCGACTTCCTGGTCTGTGGAGACCGGCGCGGTTCGGTACTGCTCTACCCGTGCGCCGAGCGGCCGAGTCCGGTAGCAGCCGGAGAGCCGGGTGGATGGGATCCGGCGTTGCGGTGGTTCGCGAACGAGGAGGAAACGACCGGCGCCCGAGAGCCGGTGTCGGCGCTGTTCGGGCTCCACGGCAAACTGGGGGTGACGTCCGTCCTGTGCCACCGGGGTTTCGTGTACAGCACCGGCCGGGACGGCTGTTACCGGCAGCTGAGGCTGGAGCACGGGGCGCTGAGAGTCCAACGCAGCCAGAGAGCCGGCGGAGGGATGGACTGGATCGAGCGGCTCCTCTTGACCCCCGGGGGAGAGCTGGTGGTCCTGGGTTTCCACGCGACCCGCCTGGTGCTGACCAGTGCCGGGACCGGCGAGACCCTGCGCTCGATTGCCTGCGGCGGCGGCCACCGGTCGTGGAGCTACGCCTGCTCTGCCCGGGGCGAGACCTTCGCCTACGTCAAGTCGGGCGACGTCTTCCTGTGCCAGGCCACGCTGCGGACCCCCACCTGCCGGCCGGTGGTCAAGGAGAGCCTGCACGGGCGGGAGGTGACGTGCGTGAGGCTGGTGGAGAGGGCGAGGGTCTCGGGAACGGGTCCCGTCAGCGTCTTGGTCGCCAGCAGCGAGGACACCACCCTGAGCGTCTTAGCCTTTCAGGAGACCTCAGGCTCCTTGTCAAAGCTCACCACCATCGGCGACCACATCTCGAGCGTGAGGACCGTGGCCGTGGCCAGGGCCGGGCGCGGTTTAAACCGCGCCGACGGGGAAGGGTCCGGGGCGCGGGCGGTGCTGTTCTCTGCCGGTGGTCGGGCCGAGCTGCACTGCTGCCAACTGCTGATCGGACGTGACGCGGTTCGAGCCGGGGTGAGCTGCGAGGTGGCGCACTTGGCCTCTCACAGGCTGGGCGAGGAGTGGGAACGTCTGAAGAACCGGCACAGGAGGAAAAAGACGGATCCCGAGACAAGGTGGGCGGGTGCTTCAAACTGCCCGTGCGAGCAAGTGACGGCCACCGGGACGAGGCGTCAAGGTCCCACTCTCGCCCCCGGGGCAGCAGGTTTGCTGCCAGTGTCAAGCCCCCGGCGGGGACTTTGAGCGCACGGTCTGTGTCGGTGGTCAAGTGCAGGGCTGGGCGGAAATGCTGCGCTTTGGGCGTTGGGTGAGATGTTAAACTGAAGTCCCATCCACTCGTTCGGGTGGACGTCAAAAGATCCCGAAAGCACTAAAGGAAAAGGGAAGGGAGTTTCTCCTGGTGTTCTGGCTGAAAATCTCCCCGAATAACACTGGCCATTCACATCGTGGCTGTTTGTGGGATGTTTATTTTTTAAGTGTTGTAATCGCTGTATAAATGCAAGTTGCTGTTGTATGAAATGCGACGTTTGTTCTTTTGGAGAGCGATACTCATCCAACAGCTCCCACACACACCCGAGTTCTTCCCATCGCGTATTGCTCTTGTTGAAGGAGGGAGGGAGTGGGGAGCAGGGCTCCGAGCCTCAGTTCATGCAGAAGGTGGGAGCAAAGAGAAACCACGGGGTCTGCCTCTCTCTCGGGTGTTCCCAAGTTGCTCAGACAGTGCTGAAGGAGAAGGAAAGCTGCCGTGGTACCCAATCTCTCAGGCAGGGTGTGAGGTGCTCCATTCATTGAACCGCTAAGTAACCTTTAACCCCCCCCCCCTCTGATTTTTAGATACATGTCCATTGCCGTGGTGGATGATGGGATAGATCAGGGTGGTCCTCCCATGTACTTCCTGGCTGCTGCCTGTAGTGATGGTGGAGTGAGGTAAGCCACGTGTTGTAGCGTGAATCCCGGAGTGGCTGGTCCTGGAGTCTTCTCCACGTTGGGACTTCGGACTGACCATCTGGGCTGATGCTCCAATATAGTACGGGGAGAGGAAAGTGCTGCATTATCGGAGCTGCCGCCCTTCGGATGGGACGTTAAACCGTGGTCCCGTCTGCCTGTTCAGGTCAGCGCCTTGGGACGTCCTCCCTACGTGAAAGGCGCTATACAAATGTAATTTTGTTGTTGTTGTTGGATGTTGAAGATCCTGTGGCACTATTCGAAAAGAGAAGCGAATTTCTCCCAGTGTCCTGGCCAACATTCCACCAGATAAAATTGGTCATTAACTTCCGACCGTGTGCAAAATTGGCTGTCACGTTCACCTACAAATACAGTCGCTACACTTTACAGTATCATAGAATTATACAGCACAGAAGGAGGCCATTCGGCCCATCGTATCTGTGCGGCTCTTTGAAAAGAGCTTCCAAATCAATCCCATTCCCTCGCTCTCTCCCCATAGCCCTGCAAACTTGTTCTCCCCAAATAATTATCGAATCCCTTTGAGATGTCCTCCCAACATGAACTGTGTCTAATGCAAGGAATATCGTTATTAACATTTTTTTTTGTAGACTTTTCATGATGGATGAAGGTCAGAAGAAGATCCTGCTTCTGGCCGAGTCATTCTACCACCAGAGATGTGTCCTGAAGGTGGAGACCTTTAAACACCAGCCAACCACTGGGCAGAGGTGGGCAGAAAGTCAGGCGTCACATTGGGAACCAGTTCTCTGCGCTTCTGTTGTTTACTGTGTGGGGATAGAAGTTACGTGTAACGCTGCTTCCCTGTCTGCGAATGAATCGACTTCAAGGTCCTCACCCTCACATATACCCTTCGTGCCGCAGGACATCCCCATCTCTCTGATTTGCTCGTACCCCGCTCCTCTCTCACCCGCTCCTCTCTTAGCCATTACAGGCCTTTTGTGCATTCGTTCCCCTGCCCCCTCTTCTCACCCAAATCGGTGGCCAAGCTTTCAGTTACTCTTTCCCCTCGAACTCCCTTCACCACGACCCCTCTCAACCTATCTTTTAATCCCAATTTAAAACATACCTCTTCAACCGCGCCCGTGGTCCCTTCTCCCTCGCTCGGCGTCCGACCCCACCACTGTGTGGAGCGCCCCCCCCGCCATCCCCCGCCCCAGACATTATCCTGCCTGAAAGGCGCTGTGCAAGTGCAAGTTGTTGCGTTGGAATTTAGCGCAAGAGCAGTGCTTTTCTTTTCCCAGCGGGAGTGTGTTCCTGTGCAGCGCAGCTACTGACGGGAGGATTGTGTTTTGGGATTTGACGCACACCATTGAGCGAGCGAGAAGAGAACAAAGTATTTGCGATAAAGTGCACCAGCCCTGGGGTAGGTACTGTGAGATATATACTTCAGGATAATAACCCTTCAAATAAAACTGGCCGCTCACGTTCACCGCCCTAGTGTACGGCAAATTGCACAAATTGGCTGCCACGATCGCCTCCAAAACACACAGTCCCTATACTTTGCAGTAAATTTGGTGATTTGCTTTGAGATGTCCTCCCAATTTCTCCCACAAAATGCACAGTCAATTCACTTTACAATTTATTCCGTGAAGCATTTTGAGACGTCTCAATGACGTGATAAGGCACTGATTATTATTAAAAATGCACACAAGTGCAAGGATTATTATGTGAAAGGCACTGTATAAAATGTAAGGATTATTACAGTACAACTCGTATAAATCTGATCTGTATAAAATAAGTTGTATAATCGCCAAAGTGGTACATCTGCCCAAGTCCTGTTCAAGAGTTTATATTCTGTGCAAGTTTGACTTAACTCACACTTTATATAAGTCGTATTTAATGCAAGATAATAATAATAATAATAATAATAATAATCCTTGCATTTGATATAGCGCTTTTCACGTCGGGAGGACGTCCCAAAGCGCTTCACAGAACACACTGTAAAGTGAACTGACTGTATATTTGTGGGCGAACGCGACAGCCAATTGCGCACAGCAATGTCCCACAAACAGTCGTAGATTGAAAATGACCAATTTATTATTGTTTTGGGGTTTTTGGAGGGATTATTATTAGGCTCTGTGTGGAGTAAGGAAACTTGCCCAAGGTTTCGCCCTCTGCCTGGGATTGAACTCAGGTCTCTCACTCGTAAAGCGAGTGCTCTAACCACTGAGCTACAGGACTCCACAGTGAGAGCGAGTGGGTGAGAAAGAGAGGACGAGAGCGTGAGAGATGGTGTGCGTGTGTGTGTGTGTACGTGACAGGCTGCGTGTGAGAAATAGAGTGTGTGTGAGAGTGTGAGCGTGTGTGTGAGAGTGTGAGCATGTGAGAGAGAGTGTGAGCGTGTGAGAGAGAGAGAGAGAGAGAGAGAGAGGGAGGGATAGGAGATCCCAATTGATACGATTTATGTGAGGTTTACTGTATTAAAAGCGGCAGCCAATTGCGCACAGCGTTTCACCCACAAAAGATACAGTCACTACACTTTACAGTATGTTCTGTGAAGCGCTTCGAGACGTGATAAGGTGTGTCAAGGACTATTATGATGACGACGATGAGCTGATGGGATCTCTCTGTGCGTTGTCCTGTGTTTCTCACAGAGCTGGGAGCTCCCTGCTTTGCCCTAAAGAGCCACCAATGCGGAATCAACAGCCTCCAGGTCCGCGCTGTGGGGGGTGAACGCTACCTGGTGGCCAGCGGGGGAGACGACAACGCCCTTCACGTCAGCGTGATCTCCGTGGGGACGCCGTCCCGGTGCCCGGAGCCTGGCCAGCGAGACCAGGCGTCCGTGCGGCTGATCCGGCAGCTGCGTGTGGCCGACGCTCACTCCGCACACGTGACGGGGGTGAGGATCCTGAGCTCCGAGATCCTGGCCTCCGTCTCCGTAGACCAGAGACTCACTCACTGGCGCCTCAGCGAGGCTGGCGTGGGCTTCCTGCAGAGCAAACACTGCCACGTGCCTGACGCAACCGACCTGGACAGCTGGGAGGCAGAGGGAAGAGGGAGCCGGTACTTTGCCATTTGTGGGCAGGGGCTGCAGATCTTCCACAGTCACCACATCGAATGAATTCTAGTGACCGGTGCCTGGCCAGAGGCGCGGGGTGGGGGGGGGGGGGGTGCAACGCTGCTTTGTCAGAGGCGACGTCCTTCGGAAGAGTCGTCAAACTGAGATCCCCGTCTGTGCCTGTTCGAGGCAGACATTAAAGATCCTGTTGGAAAAGAGGAGGGAGTCTCTCTCTCTCCCCGTGGCCTCACCAACGGGACTCCGGTAAAATCGGTCATTCACATCTCGGCTGTATTTTGGGGACGTTGCTGTGTTGCAAATTGGCAGATTGCCTCCAAAGTCACTCCGCTTGACAGTAAATCCAGCGAAGCACCTTGAGACGTCCACCTGACGTGAAAGACTCTGCAGTCGAATGCGAGGACTATTATTGTTTTTAATGGGGTGGAGGGAGGGGGAAACTACAGTAGCGATGATTGAAAATAATTTGTGCTTCTAAATACATCTGCCAAACATTCACATCGACTGTAATAATAATTCAGAGTGTAAATTGTTTTTGCAAATAAACAGTGACGACGCTTCACCGAATATTATGTGATGCGCTTTGAGATATGAAAGACTCTTTTTCAAACACAGGAGAGCAAAGATTCTGGAGCCTCACCTCCAGAGAAGACATCCCACCCGGGTCTACCTTTACTGATAGCATTTCAGAGAGTTCAGCATTTGGCAAGTTATTGAATTCAGCTTTTAACATTCGAGCCGTTTTTTTTTTGTAATATCGTGTTCAACGGAAACTTCAAAGTAAATCCGCTTCTTCAACCGTGTCGAAATACACAGTCACTCCACTTTACAGTGTATCCTGTGAAGCGCTTTGCTCGTCTCAACGACGTGATTAAGGCACTATTACAAATGCAACATTTATTATTAATGCCTGGCGGACGAAGGGCCTGTTTAGAACAAATTCACTTATATTCACTTGGCAGGAATGCGTGTCAACATGATCTGGTAGAGAATTTTTAAATGAATTTGCACTTAGTTATTTTACTTGTATTTTACCTTTATCGCTAAGGTCACCTCCTCACTCTCCCCTCTCCCTGACTCGCTATCCGACCCCATCTCTGTGAAGCGCTTCCAAGATGATATCCAATGTAAAGAGCGCTACGTAAAGGTATTATGTGATGTAGAGCACGACACAGCCAGACTGTTGTAACCCTGGACGACGAGGCAGGGGTTAAGGTGCTGGAAGGAATGCCATGAATTTTTTATACCCCTTTTTTTTTGGCCTGTTGTGCAGATAGTGCGACCGTCTTTGTGAAAGGGCTGAGTGACGGCTGACTCGTTCTTCACGGCTGAAACGCAGCGGTTTGCGGTCACGGGAGACAGAGAAGGCTGTGGGAGCTTCTCTGGTGAGGGTTGGGGCACATGCTCTGCCCTCAGAGAACCCACCATCACTGATGCCGTGAGCTGTCACTGTGTTACAAACGTATTGTTACAGCTCCACAGGATTGAGGTGGACTAAGAGGCAATTACTGTACAGTGAGGGAGCCAGTGTTAGTCTGAGATCCGATGACAAGAAGTCGGGGGATGAAATTGGTGAGGAGCAAGGCCATCGCCCGGAGCCTGACCCCTGCTGTGGACCTGCTGTATCGGCCGAACTTCACACACTCTACTGAGGTAATGGAGGTGAAGTCTGTCAACTCTAAGCCTTTTTCCTAGACCTCTCCTCTCGTTTCTTCTCCTCTCGTTTCCTCTCCTGAAGGCATTTGAAGGTATTTGACACATTTTTGCGCCTTTAGTTGTCTAAATGGCCTTTCTTCCCATGTAAGTGTTAAGACTGAGGGTGAGCGGGCTATCTGGGTGCGTGGATATCAAGGTGAGGGGTACGTGGGAGGTGTATCACATCCAGGTCAGATCTGATCCTCATCTAATCCTATTCTATCCAACACAGAACCCTCTACTGCACTCATCCTGAAACTTGCAGGAGAAAATGCTCTTTTGAGGTTGAATTTTGGGCAGAGTAGAGGGCGGTGTAACTGCTGAACTTGACCTGGCAGAGCTTGATGTTAATACTGAAGTGAGAATGAATTCCATTTCCAGGCACAACCACCTCTCACCTTCATGAGGCCAAAATTCACCCTCTCTCCCAAATAGAACTATCCAAGCCAGACTAAGAGCTCCACATATGTACGTCAACTACACATGGACATTTCCTTGTGTCTGGAACGGAACAAGCACTCTTCCTAGAGGGATGCATACCAATTTACCTAATCCCAGAAAGTATTAAGTTGCAGGTTGGCAAGACCAAGAATTGGAGAACCCAGAGTATGTTTAACCAGTTAGCACCACTTATCCATTAGGGCTTTGGCTTGTAGGATTAACAGGGGTTGAGTGGGAAGAATCCATGTTCCCAGTGACCAGTCGGGCCCCCCAAGCCCTGCCGATGAGACGTGATCCCCTTCACTGATGTCCTGGGAACGATGATCGTTTTACACATCTTCTCGCCCAGGAAAGGATCCTTGTCAGATCTGAAGGAGGAACGACCTGGATGGATGGACAGCAGAACAATGTGCTGCCTTCTCTTGGCAAGAGGACGGAGTTTGCTTTTGGTAAGAGAAGCACCATTGCCATTGGGAATTTTAGTGTTTTTTTAAGAAAAAAAAGGGAGTGGGATAATGGGATGAAGCAGGAAGTGGCAATTTACAGAGAAAGTCATCTTGGTCCTATAGTTAGAGCCAATTGAGCCCAGCCTTTTCAGGACTTGATTGCACTAGTTTTGTTCTTTCAGCATCAGATAGGATGGATCGAACAGCCTTTTGCGCTCTAAACTCCAAGGAATCTATCCCCTACCTCCCCAGCCACTCGAATAACTCTTTCTAACGCTCACCATCAAGGCAGAAGAACGGTCATTTGAGCAAGGTCGACAACGGGGGCTTGCGGAACCGACCAACCTACACCAGCCCAAGTCAGCGTCTTTAGGATATGAGTGCAGGGGTTGGGGGCTGGTCGGGAAGAACACTGATGTTAAAAAAGTCATGCATCCATTTCCTAAAACAGCTGAAGGGGAATGATCTTGATTCATTCACTGCAGGTTCAAATGACTCCGTTTGTGGTATCATCTGACCTCCAATTGGCCTTCGCCCAAATTTGCTACTGTACAGATCATATTCTGTATATTCTGTATATTCTGTGAAGCGCTTTGGGATGTCCTCCCGATGTGAAAAGCGCTATATCAAATGCAAGGATTATTATTATTATTATCATAACAGCTCACCTTCCCTCTCCCCCTCTTCTGTGACCATTACCACATCATCTTGGTCCCAGAGACACCTTTTCTCTCCCCGATCTGCCTGTTTTATTGCAAGTTCTCCACCCCCCCACCCCCCCCACTACTTTTGTTCTGCAGTATTAACACCTCTATGCCCCTGCTTTGTTGCAATCCCCCCCCACCCCCCACTTCGTTCTGCATCATTAACATCTCTTTAACTCATCATCCTCTGTCCTCTACCCCATTTTCTTCTTGGTCTTTTTTTGCCCTGCTTCACCCCCCCCCCACACCTTCTCTGTTAGCCCTTAAAATGTTAGCCCGTGCCTTCAGCTCCCCTCTCGACTCTCTTCCTCCTCCTCGCTCCCTCCCTTCCCTCCCCTCACCCTGACCATTTCCCCCCTCCTCTCTCCCTCCCTTCCCTCCCCTCACCCTGACCATTTCCCCCCTGCTCGGGTCATGACCCAACTGTGCAGCGCCTTGGGACGTCCTCCTGACGTGAAAGGCGCTCTATAAATGGAATCTTGTTGTTGTTGTTGTTGTAAAAGCCTCTCCCTCCAAACATGCCCCAGTTCTGACGAAGGGTCGTGGACCCAAAACGTTGACTCACTTTCCTTTCTCCATAGATGCTGCCTGGCCTGCTGAGTGTTCCCAGCGCCTTGTTTTTGTTTTCATGTGATGGCCTCTTGTTTTGCACATTATTTAGAGAGATCTCACTGAACGTCTCTCCTTTACATTTTGACAGCAAAGGGCCAGCAGCAGGAGAGGGCTCTCCCCACCCGAGCCAAACCCCCAAACCTTCCACATAAAACGCAGGCAAAGAAGAGGCAGAGCGGCCCCAGCGCCAATATTGCTCCCTGGACTGCCAATCTGCTCTCCGACCCTTCTGTCGATCCCATTCCCCGGTTGTTGGTGTCGAGGTTGGGTTGCGCAGCTCCCCAACCCATCCCGGTCAGACTCCATCATGGACTCACCGGGAACCCGGAGGAACGGGCACGGCGTATAAGAAAGAAGGACCGACACGGAGGTACCAGGAACAATGGCGACCAAAAGCCGCCCAAAGTGACCCCTCAGAGCCTGAGGGAAGCCGGGCCTGCAAAGCCACCCACCACAGAGAGCAAGGAGGACATGAGGTACCAGACAAGGTTCCGGAATACATTGCGTGGAGCCACCAAACTGCCCGCAGTCCAAAGCATCTCCAACCTCAGCTTCAGCAGGAGCTTCACATTCTCCTTCTTCGAGCTCCCGTACTATCAGTCACAGGAATATCAAGCGCAGAGGAACCAGGCCATCTACCTCATGTGGAACCAGCTTTGCCGTAAGACCAATGCTTTGCTCCCACAAAGGTGTCAGCTGCCTGGCTTAGTCGGTAGCACTCTTGCCTGTGAGTCAGAAGGTTATGGGCTCAAGCCCTATGTCAAAACTTTGAACTCATAGTCTAAGCAGATGCTCCAGTGCAGTGGGAAACACTGTAATAATAATAATCATGATCCTTGCATTTGATATAGCGCCTTATCACCTCGAGACGCCTCAAAGCGCTTGACAGAATATACTGTAAAGTGTACTGACTGTGTGTTTGTGGGCAAAATCGTCAGCCAATTGTACACAGCGAAATCCCACAAACAGTTGTGAATTGAGTGACATTTTGTTTTGAGGGATGACTACTCATTATTAATCATTACTGTATTGTAGAAGGTGCAGTTCAGATGAAGCCAGGAGGTCCCACCTGTCATTTCAGGTTGACGTTAAAGATCTCACGGCGTTATTCGAAAGGAGAATGAAGTTTCTCCCAGTGTCCGGGCTGACAATCTCCAAAATAAAACTCGTCAATCACTTTGTGGCTGTTTGTGGGTCACTGTTGAGGGCAATTAGCTGCCACGTTCAGCTACAATGCTGCCATTGCACTCCACAAAAAANTCCCACGAAAGGCTTTGAGATGTTTTGACGACATAATAAGGCTCTCTATCAAATGAAGGAGTATTATACTATTATACTGTTTCCTCTCAGGAATCTATTACACGAAACCAGTGCTCCCCCATCGCTAGCGAGAAATTCCTTTCATTTCTTGGTAAATATTTGTAACTGAACATTGTGCAAAGTGAAGCCCATGTAAGTTACACACAACTTTCCCACTTGTTAAGTTTTCAGTCTCAGCATTAATAGGAGATGATCAGATGACACAGGGCTGAGAAGACCAGGTGACAAACATACAGCAACAGATTCCTGCCTTGGGGGCAATGTTTAAGTGGGTGGAACTGAAAGAGGGCATTAAGTATTACAGGCAAAGCACAGACCAAGGAGCACGACACTCACATTATCTGTACGAACACGAACCACTGCGTTGACTAAACACAAGTTGCTTAACGTTACATCCATTAACATTAAGCAACTTAACTTTCCGACTGTTAAAGGGATGTGCGTTTGTATCCGATTCGTGCTGCACTGTAGTCGCAACAGCCCAACAAAAAGGGACCTGAGCTTTTAAGATCAGGTTTGGGCTGTTTCAAATCATTAAGAGGTTCACCTGGATTCTAGGGGTTTTGTGGGTGTAAGTGACGGGCTGAGACTGTGGACTGTTCTTTCTCTCCTGATGGTATGTTGAGTATTTTTAACTGAGTTGTTTCCTTTGCCATCTTTCTGTGTTCATGGTGTGAGTTACTACAAAGGGCTTCGATCAAGCCGTGGACGCTGGCGTGAGCCATGTCAGGTAGGGCTCCGCGTGTATCTGTTATTTCTATATGTTATTTCTGAACCGATGCACTGGACATTGTGAAATAAACACATCTGTGCTCTGGGGAAGCTTCCTAAGATGGGATGGTTTCGAAGTGAGAGCAAAGCATGAGCCGATGATGACTGTCAGAATCTGTGGCTGAAGCAAAAGGCATAAATGTACTCGAACGAAACATGACGCCGTCGGATTCACACACCAGGAAGAAGGAAAATAGAAAGATTAATCCCGAAGCGAAATTCCATTGGGCGACTGGATTGCATTTCGAAAAAAGGCATTGTAAAAATTAACTTTATTTTGGAGATTCCCGTAGCCCAGCGGTTAGCATGGTTGCCCCGCAAACGAGAGGACCCGGGTTCGATTCCCTGGTGGGGGTGAAACTTTGGGCACATTTCTTTAGTCCACATGCCTCTGATTATCGAGCAGGAAGTAGGAACCTGGTTGTTAGTCGATTGGCGGATCGCTTTCTGGGGGGAATAATCCCTCAAATAAAATCAGTTTCTGACCAGGAGAGCGTAGGTCTAAATGCTGAACAGCGTCTCTTTGGTCCGCAGCTACTCAAGAGGAAGTTTGAGCAGATATATTGTCATCTCTCACTTGCAATGGTGTGGGTTTGAACCCCGCAACAAATTAAGTTTTCAACCGGCTATCGACCGAAACCCCTCGACTTGCTTAACTCTCCAGCATCTCTCTGGTGCTTATTCACTCCACTTTCAACTGCGGAGGATTCAGTTTGCTAGTTCTGAAGGCAATCCCTCCTCAGGGGTGTGTGGTGGTGGTGGTGGGGGTGTGGGAGGTGATCAGTTCAATACTGTTCCATGCTGCCTGGTGCAGGGTTTCTCTCTGGCTGACCTGGTGAGGCACGGATTGCACTCGGTTCTCAGGCTGTGCCTTGGAGGTGAGATGCAGGACTTGCTGAGTTCTCAGAGCTGGTTGGGTGGCAGTATGTGCAGGGTTCCCAACGCTGTGTGAAAGACATCGCGCAATGCCTTCATCAGCCACAGCCGAGCAAACATCTGGTTAAACAAGTGATCCAGCGGTTCCTGAGGAACACAATATACTGTTAACACACTGGCCAATCATCACCCTTGTGTCTCATACTGAGCGCATATCGCAGCTGTCTCAAAGCGCTTCACGTGCAATTGATGTCAAGCGTAGTGACTATTTTCGGGCAAAATCTCTTAAGTATTGCGCCCGAGCGTGAAACACAGTAACATTTTCTTATCAGTCATTAAATAATAATTTTGCATTTGACGCAGTGCCTTTCATGTCAGCAGGACGTCTCAAAGTGCTTCACAAGATTTACTGTAAAGTGCAGTGACTGTATTTTGCAGACTAACATGTTAGCTAATTTGTGCAGAAGCAGCGTCCCGCAAACAAATGTGAAGTGAAATAAATACTGCAGTTGGCTGAGCAGCCTACAATCAATTACATAGACTGTACAACGCCAGCCATTCAACCCAACCAGTCCATAGTCCATGCGTGTGATTATACACCTGATGAGTCTACGCCCATCCTAATTCCCTCTCATACCCCCCTAATCTCTTCTCCCTCTGTGCACTGAGCCTGTGTTGTTCCTGTGACATCTGACCGACCCATCGGGCAGACAAGCCAGGATTCAGTGTTCAGTTTATTTGGAACGGCTCAGTAGTGATTATCTTGTTGAGAGTGTTGATCAGCAATGTTCTTACAAAGGAATTTTAATTGAATGTAACAGAGGGACAATATGCCAGGACATTAATATTAAAGGGTTGTGGCACTGCCTGGAGATGAAAATTACTATGATCAGAATAGTTCCAGTAGGTCATTTTAAAACTAGAGTGTGGCTGATAAATGCCCCGATGACAGCAATAATAATAATCCTTGCATTTGATATAGCGCCTTATCACTTCATTGAGATGTGTCAAAGCACTTCACAGAATATACTGTAAAGTGGATTGACTGTGTATTTTGTGGGTAAACAGCAGCGTCCCCACAAACAGTCGTGGATTACATTGACAATTTTGAAAAAGGCATCGTAAAAATATTTTTTCATTCCCAGTACATCTATTGTTTCTCACTCTTTTCAAAGCAAAGTGACAAAAAAATCTTAACTTTTTAAAAATTTTAAAAATTCAAAGAATTTTGTCACATAAGTTTAAAAGGAGTTTGAATCTTCCTGAATACCTGCAATCTTAGGAAATCAGCTCCCAGCATTGTGGGCTCAGTGAGATCTTGGCATTCGTGTTTACTGTTTATAAAGTTTGTCGTAATTTATTTTAGTTTTTTTAATATAAAGGGCTCTCAGCGCTGAACTCTCATGATGTACCACAACCCATAAATTGTGCAATGTAATCTCCTTGCTCTTATTCTTCTTGTTGATTTTATTTTCTGAGCTTATTCCTTCCTCTTCTGAAGGAGATATAACCTGTTATTTATATTGGTGTCAGGTAACTTGACCAAGTCCCTTGATTCATGCAAAAATCCAGATACTGAGTATCGCTGGATATTTGACCATGGTGGGGAGAGAGGACATTAGATTGGAAGCCAATCACTGTATACACACACCATCCATCTAGTGAGTAGGGATCGGGATTGGGGAAACCTGGTAGATTCTCTCTTCTTTTACTCAGGTCAATTGCTGATGTCAATCCTGACTGTTGCCATACCCGAGATCCTCTTCATCTTCCCACACACTGGGATTCAAACCTGTGACCTTCTGGTCTGCAAAGGCCATTTCAGGTTTCGGGTGCTCCTTTCACACTCGGGTAGGGAGTTGGGATGAATAGCTTTTGAATCTTGCACAGAGCAGATGCCGTTTCATTACAAATTATACTTACTCCCAGGATGTGCACACGGTTGTAATAGGAGCTGAAATCCATGCTGAGCTTCACAAGAAACTTGCAGATCTGAAAGAGCACGAAGAAAAGTTGGTCAGACTCGTGGCACAAGTGGAGTTTGCGATTCTCACCCCTTCTCAAGGCACACAAGGTTCACGCACTTCCAACGTCCACGCTTCTCCAGCATTCTTGAGTTCAAATAATAAATAATAATAATTTGGTCACTCAAACCACGACCGTTTGTGGGACATTGCTGTGTGCAACTGGCTGCCGTGTTTCACAAATAAAATACACTGCCAATACACTTTACAGTATATCTGTGAAGCGCTTTGAGACGTCTTGAAGATGTGTTAAGGCATTATATCAAACGCAAAGATTATTATTATTATTATTATTAGCGTTTCTAACCTGAATTGTCCGACAATTCTTTCCCCCACTGGGAGGGAGTGTGTTGCACATTGCCAGGAGCCTGTTTCAGAATAGCATTGGCAATGGACCTAATGCCTTTTAAAAAAGGAGTTAAACACCTAAAAATGTAAAAGGGCGCCGAGAGTTTTAATGGAACCGCTGTGGGTGCAATGTCCTTCTTCTGTGTTGTAAATATAATGGGAGTGATTATAATGGTGAAAGTTTTGCTTATGGTGCTTGTATTGGGGCGTAGACCCTGACATTTGCTGATGAAAAATCCAAAATAGTGACAATCTGGTGACCCAGAAGTCATCTACTTTGTTTTAAATAGCTGATGGCTGGATGGTGGTAGGAAGCTCTGTGCAGAAGCACTGATTGGCGATGGTACCCTATTATAGTGTAGGGATTATATGGATTCCCCCAGATCCACTGTATATTCCACTGTATATTCATATGCACTACTGTATTCATATTCATGTCTCGTTGCAAGAGGCTGAGGCAGAAATGTAGAAAATGTGGAACAGTTTCTGGGCAGTTTGCTATCAGATGCATCTTGTTGCTTCGCCCTGGAGTCAGTAATGCAATTGACAAAGACCCCAAAGGATCAGGAAGTTTCACGTGTATCCAGGGCCTTGAGTTACTCACCGCCTCAGTGTTGACTGTGAGTCGAATCCCCTCGGATGAACTCCAGGACTTTGCACTCTCACTGAGAACCTCTGGGAATGGGATAATATAATTGTACAACAGAAGCCATTCCCCCTGTACAAATGAGAAAGACCTTTAATAGTTACTGCACTAGAGTTCAAATCTTCAAATACAGTAGGTCTAAAGATGTAACATTCAAGGTGAAATACAGAGGATACAGTTCAAGATCCTGGTCCTCACCTTCAAAGCCCTCCATGGTCTTGCTCCCCTCTACCTAACCCCCCTTCCATCCTGCTTGCTCCCTCCGCTCAGCGGGCTCTGGCCTGCTTCACGTCCCACGCCTCGCTCGCCCCACTATCAGTGGGCGGGCTTTCCGCCACTCTGCCCCCGCCCTCTGGAACTCCATCCCGCAGTCCCTCCGCCTCGCCCCCTCCCTTGCCACCTTCAAGACCCATCTCAAGAGCCTCCTCTTCGACTGTGCTTTTGATCTCCCTGCTTCCCCCCCTGCCCTCCACCCTCCACAACAAGATACTTGGAGAAGAGTGCGAAGGACTTATAAATAAATAATAATAATCCTTTCATTTGATATAACGCTTTTCACGTCTTCTAGATGTCTCAAAGCGCTTCACAGAATATACTATAAAGTGAATTGACTGTATATTTGTGGGGGAAATACGGCAGCCAATTGTGAACAGCAGTGTCCCACAAACAGTCGTGGATTGAGTAACCAAATGATTTTATTTTTTTCTTGAGGGATTAGTATCAGGCGTGTGGAGCAAGGAAACTTGCCCAAGGTTTCGCCCTGACCTGCTGGGAATCGAACCCAGGCCTCTCGCTTGCGAGATGTGCTGTAGCCACTGAGCTACAGGACTCCACAAAGATTTGTGTTGGTATAAGGGACACAGGAGGGTCAGAGAGCAAAGATACCCAAGGCCTGGGCTGACCAGGCAGTTGAGGGCAACAGGCAGTTGGAGTGTGTTTTGAGTAGGATTTCAGGGTGAATGCCCATAAGAGGCAGCATGAACACAGGGGTCTGCACCTCTCCAGGACTGTCTAGTAACAGGGAGTGTGGTGTGTCACTGTTTACTGATGTTTTAGGAACATAGGAACAGGAGTAGGCCATTCAGCTCCTTCGACCCTGTTCCGCCATTCAATTATATCGTGACTGATCTGCACCTCAACTAATCTTGTCAATTTCAATTTCCTGTTTTTCCCCATATCCCTTGATACCCTGAACTACCAACCATCTATCAACCTCACTCTTGAAGATGTGGATGGATCCAGCATTACAGCCTTTTGGGAAGAGAGTTCCAGATTTCTACCACCCTTTGAGTGAAAAAATGCTTCCTGATTTCACTCTTAAATGGTCTGGTTCTAATTTTAAGACTATGCCCCCTTGGTTTGGATTCTCCTATTGCACGAATAAACTTGTGTGGCTCGAACCAATTGTATGTCCGTGTGCGGGTCGGTATCTGACTGACTTGGGTAGTCTATGGTTACACTGGTGTCGTAAGTGGGACTCGGACTTCAATGGAGACTGTACCTCTTCCCGAAGAGCAGAAAAGTTCAATTCCGAGGTGTCCGGGAGCTCTGGATACAGCTCTGGGTAAAGGAAAGAAATCAGTGTCATTGCTCCATATTAAACTGTTCAAATTATTGCAGAAATCTGGCACTCAGTTACCAAAAGGATTGTGTGGGGAAAATAGCCTGAGTTGACACTTGTCGGCCTTCAATTATTTTACCTTTCTCTGTTGTTTTTTTTTGGTGAATTTATTTATTTTGAAGTCTGACTTAAATATTACTTAAAAGGTAGGATTATATGGATATGAGTATTTGTAGGCAAACAACAGCAGCCAAATTTGCCCTCAGCAATGTCCCACAAACAGCCTCTATATAACAACGTGCATTTATATAACACCCCTCACGCGGGGTAGCGTCCTGGAGCGTTCTATATGAGACACGTGATCAATTTTATCTGGGGGGGATTGTTGGCCAGGAAACTGGAAGAAACTCCTTTCTCTTTTGGAATAGCCACTGGATCTTTAACATCCATAACATACGCATAACAGACTGTTAGATTCCCTGTAATTTGCTGCATTCACACTGTGCAACGAGTTCAGAATCCACTGCGCAAGTGCAACAAGTGTCAAAGCTTCCATCTCCTCAAAGTGGGTTTAAAACTATTGTGTCCCCCAGCCGATGCAACCAGCCTGGTGTGAATGGTCAGATCAATCCACTCTCTGGGTTTTCTGCTGCCTGCTTTACTAGCTCACGTCTGACTGAAAACACACTTCACCCGCTAATGCCCTGGTTTTGAGGAAGAGCTGAATGAAAACAACACCAGTGTGACGAGAGCGGTAGCTGACCTGGGCCACAAAATTATGCAACTCTTACCTTGCTGGACGGACTTGTGGAAATTATCAAATAAAGTGGCGAGCCTGGCACAATTGTACATGACGAATGCTCCACTCCGTGTCCCTTTGGTAGAGATGCTGGCTTCTTCGCTCAAGTCCAAGGTCAGCTAAGGTTTGAAGGGGAAGATCTGTTACAAGTTTCCAACATGACCTATGATCCCTCTCACCCTTCAGTGTTGACAACCCAAATATTTACGGCAGATTCAATACAATTGTGATTGGAGAACTGTAAAAGAAGCGAATAAACTGGCCTCCTGTTCCTTATTGGTTTGAGATCCTGCAAGCTTCAGTCAATCTAACCTGGTCCTGTAGCTCAGTGGTTGGAGCACTCGCCTCGCAAGCGAGAGAGCTGGGTTCAATTCCCGGCAGGGCGAAACCTTGGGCAAATTTCCTTGCTCCACACGACTGATAATAATCCCTCAAGAAAATAAACGATAATAATTTGGTCACTCAATCCACGACTGCTAGTGCACAATCGGCTGCTGTGTTTTGCCCACAAAATATACAGCCAATTCATTTTACAGTATATTCCTTTAAGCGCTGTGAAGCGCTAGAAGTTGTGAAGAAGTGAAAATCGCTATATCAAATGCAAGGATTATTTATTTTTATTATATTATTATTCCTGTCTGCAAAGCTTGCCATAATTCAGGGTTAAAATAATCAGACCACCCATCTTCATAGCAAATTGACGAACCAACAAATTACGCTGGTTGGAGCACTGAGATAAGTGACTAGGGCAATTGATCTCAGAGTGGAGGCTGAGTGTCTCTGGGCTTCCTTTGCAAATCCACCAGATTCATGTAACAATAGAAAGTGAGTTAGCGAACTCGCCACACTCCTACCCTGGCAGATAAGGATGATCCAAGGCATGGGGCATCTTGGAATAAGGTAGAGAGAGAAACAACCCATTGGAAAACAAGCACGGACCCATTGGGCTACTTACTGGGCTGCGGTGCGCTGCTGCCAACAGCTCAAACCTGATGGTGGCAGAAGTCATACTACTAATGATCCCAGTCCATGAATCTCCTAGAAAAACACGGTGAACAATAGTCAAGAATTTTTTTTTTTGAGGTTCATAATGATGTCTTTGAGTAGAGGCATCATTCATCCTTGCATGTCAGGCAGTGATGGAAGAATCGAGGATAAGGGCTGGAGAGGATTGCATAGATATTATGGGTGAGCCCATGAAAAAATGTATTACCTTCGATAAGAATACACCACTCAAAGGTGCACTCACTCATCTTTAATCGTTACTATCTGGTTTCTTGAAGTAGGTTTTACAATTTCTCAACCATATCAAACTCGTAAACTTTGTTGACTTCTCTTCCAATTTGAAGTCGTCTGAGAGACGTGTGCTATTTCTCTCAAGAAAACACGATCAGCAATACTTGGTGCTGAGTCTGTGTAACTTTGGGAGGAGAGGGCTTGTTGTTAGTGCAGTTCTCCACTCTCTCACCTACCATAACTATGCAATCTTCTCTGCACTACATTCCAGCCTTTGTTGCACTTTGCACCCACCAAATGGCTTGAGCGAAAATAGGAACTAGAAAATAGGTAGTGTTCCAGAATATAATCAAATGCTGGAACAGGTTACCAAGACGGGTTGTTGACAGTTTATAATACTGTCTCCTATTCCTCATTACCTTCACTTTAACAATAGCTCGGGTCTGAAATGCTGTACACTGTCCAGCGCCTTGGGACGTCCTCCCGACGTGAAAGGTGCTATACAAGTGTAATCTTGTTGTTGTTGTTAGACTTGATGACCATTCAATTCTATCATAATGTTCTAATCTCCTCTGATAAGTAACAGCAAGAGGTCTGCTAAGGAGAATGAGCATCACTGGATACCACGTGTACCTTGCACCAGGTCTCCATACTTCATCACAGATGCCTCTTTCATTTGAGATCTTCGAAACCTACAAAGGAAGAATAGAAATTTCAGTTGAACGTTCTAACATGTAATCTGTACAATAAAGTGTACAAAATTCTCAACCTTTTCCCTCATGTAATAATAATCCTTGCATTTGATATAGTGCCTTATCACGTCATTGAGACGTCTCAAAACGCTTCACAGATTACATTGTAAAGTGTAGTGACTAGTGTATTTTGTGGGCGAAATACACAGGCATTTTAAGTATCCGTTTGAGTTTGAGGTCTCCCCTCACTCATCGCATCTCCAGGCTAATATGGATTTACTCTGGCAAGTCTGGTATGGAGAAACATCACTAAGCAGTTTGAGAAATTTGGCTGAGGTAATTAAACATGCAAGCATTTTTTTATCTTAGGGGCTTTTGGAGAATTTATGTGTGGTAACTTAACTATTAAATTTGACACATTAAGCACTTGGGAAGCATATTTTTCAATGTTTTCGAATTTGAAACCGCCTTTGTGATGGAATATTTAAACAGAAGATAAGCACTCCACTAGATTTCCCTGAGTCTCTCTCTCTGGATGTTTAAGAGGTGGACACATACTTGGGTAGTGGTGGTATGAAGGGGTATGGCAAAAGCATTGGAATTAAAAGACGTGCCAAGATCTAATAAATTGGTGGAGCAGGCTCAATGGGCTGAATGGCCTCCTCCTGTTCTCCTCTGTACCTAACTCTGTAACTGTAGATAAAGGTGTACACACCCCAGCTGGAATGATAACTCACTGAAAGTATTGAATGGCACTGATCCGAGGGTTTTCACCAGTAACTCTCACTGGCCCACACACCACGTATTTCTGAGGAAGAGAAAATAAATACCAAAGTGCTTTAAATACAGCACCAAGTGTCTGCAGCCCGCCACCCCACCTGTGTACAGGTGAGCTCCAGCCACTAAAGTGCAATAGTGTAACATTCCCAGTCCCACACAGTGTTCCTTGTGATCGCACTTATAATGCCATAGAGTACAGGCAGTTTAGTGCTGATAAGTGCTCTTAAAGATTGAAATGGTCTGAGTTCAAGTCAACAGGTTCTTTAATATACTGTGGCAGCTGCCCTCCCCACTCTGAATTTCGGGAACTTAGAAATGTGTTACGTGGTCCAAACGTCAATAACTGAGAAGATAGCCTGCAAACCCAGCGAGACCCTTGTCCCCAATGATTCCCACTGGGATTTGACACTACTAGACTGAGACTCCAGCTCAGTGCTGGGCGAATGGCTGCATTGTCGGAGCTGACACTCTTCAGATCAGACGTTAAAACCAAGGTGCTGTCAGATTGACGCTAAAGATCCCGTGACACTATTTGGTCGTTCGCTTCATATTTGTGCGTTAACCCTGCTCCCTCACCCCGAGAACGCTATGTTTCCCCAGACCTTCTCCTCTTTCTTCATCAGTGTTTTCATTGCCTTAGGGATGTCCTCCCGACGTGAACGGTACTTTACAAATGTAATTGGCACCAATGCTCATCATAGTTTTTCAAACTTTGGATTTTCAATTTAATGTGGTTGACCATAGTCCCAGACCAACCTGGGAAATGATTCAAGACCTGAACCCTAACAACCCCCCACCCCACTCCCCCCAAACCTGTGGTGACTGAACTAACCTGGGTGAGGGGATCCCTCCCTGTGTTGAGTATTTGCCAGAGTAGATCAATCTTCTGCTGCTGGAAATCCTCCTCACAGCCCACGACGTGAATCACAGTGCAATGCTCTGCGGCCTCCTGACACTGCAACACATTCATTTTCAAATCTTAGGTATGTCATTTTCAAACACTGATTAAAAAAAAAATGCTTTAGAATTGGTTTGGCCAATAATTTTGTGTAGAAGTTTCCCCGAAGACATGAATGAGCATGACATCCCCAGCTCGGATGCCTGTCAAGCACCTTGGGACATCCTCCTGACATGAAAAGCTATGTAAATGCAAATTTGTTGTTGTTCTCACCATTTCTGCAGGTTACTCAGAGGGAATACTACTTGCAATGACTGTCCCTAAGCAAACAAACTGGACCTGTGGCAATTAACGGAGAGTTTCGAGTGCAATGGTTGTTACGAGGGCAGGTAGTTTGTACTGACCTGTGCGGTGGCATTCTGTAGCTCTGCAACTTGTCTCAGGCTTCCCTCCTGCACTGTGCAAAGCGGAATAGATCAAAGTGTTTTTTTTAAAAAAACATTTGGAATTGCGCAGTCTTTAAGCAAATCCTTTCTCTATTTTATGCAGATCATTTTTAAAACAGGAGACAGTCAATAGAATCAATGACACAACTGTCATTAATTGCCGCTTCAAGGAGTTTGATTAATTCAAAAATAACAACTTATTATTAATATTAACTTGCATTTATGCAATGCTATTCACGTGAGATATTGCCTCGGCAGGCTTCACAAAAGCAGGGGTTGGTTCATGAGCAAAATGAAATAGGATGTAGTGGAGGGAAGGAGAGGTGATTAAAGACACAGTTGAAGAGGTTTTTAGGCAGGATTTTAAGAGATACAAAGAGTAGAGAGACAAAGGGTTAGAGATTAGGGGCACAGCTGCTGAGTGGTATATAAGGCCCAAGTAATAATCAGAGTTTTTAGCTAGTTTTGTTTCTAGAGTTTTACAGCTGAAACAGTTTTATTTAAGTCTCTCTTACTGTTTGCCAGCTGACAAGCAGCAGGATGGAGATACCAAATCATCATCTTATTAGGTGCGGTTTGTAGCTACTAATCAGCAATAATTCCAAATTAGTTTCCTCAATCCACACTTCTTTACAGGACAAATAGTATCGAAAGAATCGCAGTAATATCTAGAATTGTCAGTCGCAGGGGGTATTGCAAAATAGCCTTCTAACCACAAAAATGGCTGAGAAGACTGATCAGAACATGATAAGGTGCTATATCAAATGCAAGGATTATTATTATTATCACTGACTCGTTCCATTAAGTACCCTCAAGGAGGTGTTTTGTTGTGAACCCAGGATACATACAGTGTGCAATGCATATCTGCAGTCTTCCAATTCTGAACTTACAATATTCTTTGCACATGAAACACCTTCAACATCGCAAAGAGCTTTGCAAGTTTTTAATGCGAAGTGTAGTGTCTTTATTGTATGTGAACATGGCAGGCGATTTGCACACAGCAATGTCCCAAAGACCTCATACTGTTTAACAGAACAAATGTCACTTACAGAAATATTCAGCTGTAAAGTATCTGGGATATTCAAGCTTAATGAGCCTACCCTTTGGGTAGTAATAATGATAAATTGGTCTCTTCAATCGACGACGGTTTATGGGACATTGGTGTGTGAAATTAGCTGCTGCGTTTCGGCCTACAAAATACAGTATATTCTGTGAAGCGCTTTGAGACGTCTCGAAGACATGATAAAGCGCTATATCAAATGCATGGATTATTATTATTATTATTGCAACACTTGATCACCCGGATATCTTGTGGACATTCCAGTTTGTATAGATTTAGTGTTTGTAACAATTTCAGAACCTACCCAGAGCAACATCCAAGTTGGGGTCGTAACCTTCCAATCCTTTCTCCTTCACAAACTCTTTTAAATGCACCTTAAATAGCACGTCTTTGGGCGAAGCCTTGTGGCCCTGGCTCGAGAGGTCCTCGGACTTCCCGAGTTCCGTGTAAACTGACTCGCGCAGGATCCGTTTGAAATCGGACACTGTTCCCTCACTGGAGGGGCCGTGCCAGGAGGAAAGCCATTTGACGCTCAGCAGCTTCAGGAAGTTCCAGATGTCAGTGTTTTGGGCAACGCTTGGGGTCATGTGGACTGTGTATCTAACAGAAGGACAGAAGAGGATGAGATTGGATCAGATGAGCACAAAGATGGAACAGAAAAAGGCAGAGCTGACAGGAAACCATTCCAGACAGTGGCTAAGAGTGTCTTCCAGAGCAGTCGCTGGTAACTCATGTTCACTCCAGTGCCTCTGGAAACTGTTCTGGACTTCTTCACTCACTCCTATCCAGTTTTCAATCGCACTAATTCCACAGAGGTGAGATGGGCACGGGTCAGTTTATTTAGGTGTTCTACATTTTATATTACTCCACCCCCTCTCATGCAAATCATGTTTGTTCCTTCTCCTTACGTTCCTGTGTTTTGGCAGCATTGAGAATATCAGAAAATTCCAACACTCTACTCGTTCAGGGCTCCTCTCTCTCTCTCTCCCAGTAACCCTCCCCATTCCACCCCCTCCCCCATCTCCCCAACACCTGAAACTCTCCCGATGTTCTGTCAATTGGTCATTCACTTCATGGCTGTGTGTGGAATATTGCTGTGCACAAATTAGCTGCTGTGTTCGTCCATAAAACACACAGAGGCTTTAAGACATCCTACTGACGTGCATTTGTGCGAGAGGATAGGGTTAGACTTGGCCGTGATATCCACCCTGGAGTCCACTTTTCTCCTGATGCTCCCTACCTAGGCTGACACAAGAGGATGTACGGCTTTGGTGATGTACGGGGAAGCCTGTGGAACAATACACCAGCAAAAAGCGAGCACTTGCAAGAGTTGAGGAGGGGGCCTCACACGAGAAACCAAAACTAACCCTCGTTGTCTTAACAGTTCAGCGAGATGGTCTGTCAATAGGATAGCGCGCAGATGCCCGACTGTGAGCGACTCCAGGCCTCTGCATCCTTGCAAAACTGCACAGTTCAGAACTACACCTTTCTTCTCCACCAGCGCAGATGCCGAAGACCTGGTGTACTGAGCGACATTGCTCAGGACGTCCGTAAAAAGGGCGGTGTGGTCCAACTGAATGAGGAGTCCGGCATCCGTCTGCTCACAGCTCTGTATGTGGAGGCCCTGGCACTGATCCGAGCTGAAGCCTTGCATGACGTTTTCGGGAACCTGGAACCAGATAAGAAATTAGTGATTATAATAATAATAATAGTAGTTATTCGGGTACAGAATAAACACAAGGCGATTAATTCAGCGAGAATCAGGTCCGACCATCAGATCGGCACCAGCTCTCAGAGTAAACTGTCTGTTCAGTTCCACTGCCCCCACCCTATCCCCAAACTCCGTCACCCATTTTCTTTTGTGAACCTCCCAATTGCTATTTTAAATCTCCACAATGGACCGTTAACATCTCATCCAAAGCACATCATCTCCAACATTGCAGCCCACCCCCCGCCCCCCACCCCCCGCTCCCCACACCCCGCTCCTCACCCCCCACCCCCTGCCCCCCGCCCCCCGCCCCCCGCCCCCCCCCCCCCGCTCCCCCCCCACCCCCGCTCCCCCCCCACTCCCCAGCCTGGACTGTGAGCTCCAAGACCCCCCCGATGTGGGGCTTCAATCCACAACCTTCTGACTCTGATGTTCCCCGCCCGCCCTCGGCCCCCCACCCCGCCCACCCTCCCCAGGCTCCTCCCCTTCTCCCCCAGGCTCCTCCCCTTCTCTCCCAGGCTCCTCCCCTCTCTCCCCAGGCTCCTCCCTCTCTCCCAGGCTCCTCCCCTCTCCCCCCAGCTCCTCCCTCTCTCCCAGGCTCCTCCCCTCTCCCCCAGGCTCCTCCCTCTCCCCAGCCCTCTCCCCAGGCCCTCCCCTCTCCCCAGGCCCCTCCCCTCTCCCCAGGCCCCCTCCCCTCCCCCCCCAGGCTCCTCCCTCTCCCCAGGTCCTCCCACTCTCCCAGGCTCCTCCCCCTCTCCCCAGGCTCCTCCCCCCTCTCAGGTCCCCACCTCTGCTGTCCCTTCCCTCCACAGTCCGCTCCGCCAAAGCTCCGCCCACCCGCCCCTCCCTCAAGCTCCGCCCACCCGCCCTGAGCGGCCCCGCCCCCCGGGGGGGGTACCTGGCCGCGGGGGAAGAGTTTGCCGAGGGCCCCGCGGGGCGCTATGAAGTCCCGGCGGCGGAGGTTGCGGGCGCTGCTCTCCTTGAACCAGGCCCTGCCCGGGGCCGGGGCCGAGCGGCGGCCTCGCAGCAACCGCTCCAGGGCGGCTTCACAGGCGGCGAGAGAGAAGCTGCCGGCGGCCTGGGCCTGGGCCTGCGCCTGCGGCTCGGCCTCGGCCTCGGCCTCACGCTCCATCCCGGGCTGGAGCTGAGGGGGAGGCGGGGGGCGGGGGGAGAGGGAGGGAGCGGGGGGACCAGAAACTCGGGGACTTCCGGTAATCGGTTGCTAAGGAGCGACTTCCTGTTGTAAGGTGTTCCTCCTAAGCCTTCCCCCCCCTCACCCCCCCCTCACACACACCCTGTACACCCCCTCCCACACACACACACCCTACACACACCCCACCCCCCTCACACACCACAACCCCCCTCACACACCCCCACACACACACTACACACACACCCCCCTCACCCCACCCCCCCTTACACACCCCCACACACACCCCCACACACACTACACCCCCCCTCACACCCCACCCCCCCTCACACACCCCAACCTCCCTCCCCACACACACACACCCTACACTTACACACCCCCACACACCCCACCCCCCCCCCACACACCCTACACACACACCCACTCACACACCACAACCCCCCCCCACACACAACCTACACCCCCCCTCACACACCACAACCCCCCCTACACACACCCCCCTCACACACCACAACCCCCCCCCACACACCCTACACACCCCCACCCCCCCACACACACACACCCCAACCCCCCCCACACACCCCCATACACACACCCCAACCCCCCCCTCACACACACCCCACACACACTCCCCCACACACACAACCCCCCACACACACCCCTCACATACAACCCCCCCCCACACACACACCCTACACACCCCCTCACACACAACCCCCCCACACCCCCCCCCCCACACACACACACACCTTACACAGCCCCCTCACACACACAAGCGCCTGATCATAATCCCTCAAGAAAATACACACGAGAATAAAATCGGTCGCTTTAAATCCACGACTGTTTGTGTGGGGCACTGCGGAGCGCAATCGGCCGCCGCGATTCGCCCACAAAGTATACAGTCGATTCGCTTTACGGTTATATTCTGTGAAGCGCTTTGAGACGTCTCGAAGACTGCAATCAAATGCCAGCATTATTATTATTTTTTCTTTTTCATTTTTTCTATCGGTTGAATTTGACTCCTTTCCCGCCACCAACCCTCCCCCCCCCCCCCCCCCCCCCCCACCACCTCCAACCCGAAACCCTGGGGATAATAATAATTATAATTGTTGCAATTGATACACTGCCTTATCGCGTCAAGACGTCTTGTAAAGAGCTCCACAGGATCTACTGTAACGTGGATTAACATGTATTTTGTGGGCGAAACGCAGCAGCCAATTGTGTAGAGCAATCCGTGATCAAATTATTAGTATTTTTCCCCCATTGCTCTCCTCAGCATCGCCTCCGGAGCTGCAATGGACAGAGCTGCACCTGGGGAAGAAGATGGCAGGAACAACCAGAAACTATAATGGTGATAACCAAAGTGAGGGGAATGGGAACTTGGGCACGTCATATCACTTACCACACTCAATAGACTTGTTTTGAGGCATTGGGGAAGTTTGTTCTCTTGTGTTTGAATTAAACGGTTGAATTCTTGACCTACCCTGCAACTTAGTGCCTTGATAGTTAACATTAAAGCTGTAGGGCAAATATTGAAAAGAAACCTCATAGCTGGAAGAACAAGTCAGATGGGTGCAGATGTTTACATTTTGCTGTGTCTCAATTTACAATATCTCTCAATCATTCTGTAAAGAAATTCAGTTTGAACGTTTCCATTTCAGTTCAAATGCGTTTGAGCGTGGCGAGAACGCTGGTAAATTTCCATTAACTGGTTGGGGCGAGGAGTAAATTTCATTCAGGTGCAATTTTTCTACGTCCGCAATATTGCCCGGCTCCACTATTGTCTCTCACCGCAGGCCACCGAGACCCTCCTCCACAACTCCTCCTACCATAGGCTGCAGATCATCCAGAACTCTGCAGCCCGTGCCCTCTCCTGCGCCAGGCTCTGTGACCCCTATCACCCCCATCCTCGCCTGACTCCACTGGCTTCCCATCACACAGATGATACAGTTCAAGTTCCTGGTCCTCACCTTCAAAGCCCTCCATGGTCTTGCTCCCCCCTACCTCTGCGACCTCCTAAACCCCTATCAACCTGTCCGCTCCTCCGCTCAGCAGGACTGTTCCACGCCCCTGCCTCGCCCTCTCCATCATTGGCGAGTGGGCCTGCAGTCTCTCTGCCCCCATCCTCTGGAAGGCCATACCACAATTCCTCAACCTCGCCCCCTCCCTTACCTCCTTCAAGACCCGTCTCAGGACCTTGCCTTCGGTCACCCTCCTACCCCCACCCTCCCCGCCCTCCACCCCTCCTGAGGAATCAGGAATGAAATCGGGAAGCACTTTTTCACACAAAGGGTAGTGGAAATCTGGAACTCTCTCTCCCCCAAAAGTCTGGGATGCTGAATCAGAGTCCTGTAGCTCAGTGGTTAGAGCGCTCGCCTCTCGAGCGAGAGACCTCGGTTCGATTTCCAGCAGGGCGAAACCTTGGGCAAATTTCCTTACTCCACACGCCTGATAATAATCCCTCAAGAAAAAAAATAATAAAACTGGTCACTTCAATCCACGACAGTTTGTGGGACACCGCTGTGCGCAACTGGCTGCTGCATTTCACCCACAAATATACACAAATTCACTTTGCAGTATATTCTGTAAAGCGATTTGAGACGTCTCGAAGACATGAAAAGCGCTATATCAAATGCAAGGATTATTATTACTATCGATTCAAATTTTCAAGACTGAGGTGGATAGATTTTTGTTATGTAAAGGGTATCAAGGGATCTGGAGCAAAGGGGGTAAACAGAGTTGAGGTACACATCAGCCATGATCTAATAGAATGGCTGAACAGGCCCGAGGGGCTGAACGACCTACTTCTGTTTCTATGAACAGAGCTGTAGCGTGTGATTAATTTAAAGAGGCTAATTAAAGAGCCCCGAAACTCGCTATGCTTTTCGTCCGTTTCACATTGCAGGTCGAGTGTTTATCGCTGGGAGTGTCATGTTGCCCTGACAAGATGTTAACTGTAAAACAATTTGTTGTGCTTTTGGAGGATACACTGCATGTACGTACCTGCACTCCTCCATATAGTGCATAGGAAATGAATGATTGGTGTAGAATGCACCCACATTGAATTGTGGGCTCTGTTTACAAGCTCCGTGCGCGGCTTTGACCTCGGGGATGGGGGGGGGATTAATGTCGTACACTTTGCATTTGCACGTATTGCTGATGCCAAGACAGTTTGTGCACATTTCTTTTCCCCTCTCTTTTCTTTGCTTCCTTGAAACCTTAAGCGTTGTAGCCAACTTGGCTCCAGCTTCTGTTCCATCGCTTCTGCAGTGTTGTAAATCGCTGCGACAGAAAGTTGGAGGTGCGCCCAGCTCTCTCAAGCCAACCGTGAGATTGGCATCTTGGAGCTAAGCTGGGAGGGGGTTGGGGGGTGGGGGGGGGGGTGGCTGGGGGAGGAGATGCTGGAAGAAAAACCTGAGTGTCAAAGTGACATTAGAGTTAAGACAATGGCTTCACACTTTGCCATTTTAAAAAAGTGGCCGTAAATCTCATACAAGAGGCAGCAGACTCGAAATATTCCGATAGATCTGTGGCCAAATCGTGGCACTGGCTCGCCGATGAATGGGAACTTGAAAGGGCAATTATCTCAACGCCTTGCTGATAGCCCTTGATCTATTGCTACGGCTACAACTGCTGAAAAGCAAGCATGCGTGAGACCCAACAGTCCGATCCATTTGCTCGGAGGTACATTAGTGGCATGCTGACAAGAGCAACGGATTTAGGGCCCCGTCTTCGGCGATTGCTGTGGATTGTGTGGCATCAGTTCCTGTGTTTGTCACCACAGATTGGCATATCCACCAGAGAAATTTATGTGCTCCCAAAGTAGGGCAGACCTAAGTGGAGAACGTGTCTAGGTAATCCTTTTCTCCTGAATTCAAAACCTGAAGGATTAGGAATGAGGGACTTGAATTATGTGGAGAAGGTCACGGGGAGATTTAATAGAAGTGTTCAAAATTATGAGAGGATTTGATGGTGAACAGGGAGAAGAAACTGTTTCCACTGGCGGGTGGGTCGGTAACCAGGGGATATAGATTCAAGGGGAGATGAGGAGAAAGTGGTTCTCGCAGCGAATTGTTCGTATCTGGAATGCATTGCCTAAAAGGTTGGTAGAAGCAGATTCATACCAACTTTCAAGAGAGAAGTGAATCGATATATGGGGAAGACAAGTTTGCAGGGCTATGGGGAGAGAACAGGGGAGTGGGGTTGAAGCAGGCACGGGCACGATGGGCCAAATGGCTGTCTTCTGTGCTGTTTGATTCTATAATTGCCCCCAAGTCAAAGGGCATCTGAAGAAAAAGATAGATCAATATTAAGGACCCAGCTTTCTCTCACAGGCTGTGGATTAACTTCCAGGTTTGTAGCGGGGCTGCAATTTTGGTTTATTACCCACATTTATCCAATTTTCAATGTACTTTGGATAATTTACTTAATCTTGTGCACTTGCACTTATCTCATAAAGTAATCTCACTGAGGAACATTATCACTGAGGAACGGTGAGCATTGTATTCCTGACTGCAGGCTGTGTAGGCTGTTCAATGTGCAAGTTTGCAAATGAACCATCTTGAAGTAACTCGACTGATTTACCCTGGAACTCTCTTTCTCTGATTCCCTCACATTCATACCACCTGTCTCTGCTTTCAAAACCTTTCTAAAACTCAACTACAACCACAATTTGCATTTGTTTGGAGCCCTTCATGCAGTATTGGACATTGTGCATTAAAACTCTTATTTCTTTGATTGTGTCTTTGGTCACCTCCCTCTTACTCCTTCTATCTCCTACTCTGCTCCCGCACTCTTTCCATCTCTCTGAAGTGCTAGGTGTAGCTGCCGCCTTTCTTGTTGATTCAGGCTTTTGTTGTGATGTGCGGGATGAGATGAATGAACAACGGCAACTCTGGGCATGGATTCGCTCAGCCTAAATCTAAATCCTAAAACACATTGTTTCCTCTTTTAAAGCCCTGTTGAGAGAGTGTAGATTTATT